TTTGTATGTGCCGTGGAATGCACTGATTAGCAACGGTACAAATACGCCCGCGTGCACGACTCGCGTACTACGACCCTACCAATCAAAACCCTTAGGGTCTCATGATGCCTTGCTCTTTTCGGTTTGTGAGAACTGACAGAGGTTCTTCCGTCGTCGGCGAATTGCTCTAGAGGGGTATGCGTATCCATAGAGACCACGACATCTGCCATGCAGCACGGTGTCCGCCGATCTCCCGTTGGCGCTGCTACATAACAAAGACTGGTGCACTCTTTGACACCTCAGGGATCGTCAAACAAAGAAATGATAGACATGATGGATTCTGGAACGAGTCGAAGATCAGTCAGCATGTCAGGGGCTGTAAGTAATGGGTCGATTGGCCATGTCACTGGCTTGTCACTGGGCGCCTCATCGCCTGTCCCTGTTGTAAGCACTCACATGCCTAGTACTCAAGGATGAACACTAACAGGAGATACTTAGGTAGCCATTGTTGGAGACAAAGGCTCTGGGAAGACTTCTTTGTTCGAAGCTCTCTCTGGCTTATCTCTTCATGGCTCTCGTCTGTCGTCAACGAAATTCCCCATCCATGCTTGCTTTACGCACAGCAGCCGGACGGGGACAACATTAAGGGCACGGATAAAACCAGGGAAAGTGGATGGACAGAACAAAGAGCTTTCAGACCACTTGGAGAGTTTCGAGGTGAACTATGAGGGAGATCTTGCGGCTGTCAATCTTCCTCACATTGTGAATCAGGTCCGTGCAGTCGTTTACACCTGTTGTTTTGATACATCTTACTAACCGCAGTGGATAGGCAACGAATCACATGCAGGTCGCAACAGCGTTCTCTGATGAAAAGGAACAAGAAGAGCAACAAGTATCTGACAACGTACTTGTCATTGAGATCTCGGGTCCAGACTTTTTCAGCATGGAAATCGTCGATACACCTGGGCTATCGTCTAGTGAGTCACATTTTCGTGCCATTTGTATAGCACAAAAGCTCACATAGACAGGTCCGTCAGTTGATGACACGCAGGAGGTGACAAGATCCCTCATCATGGATCTCATCAAGCAACCCAACACTATCATTCTGTCAGTCTTATCTTTTACTGTTCAAGGAGAATGCTAACAGAATAAAGATCTGTCGTCGACGCGACAACTGATATGAGCAGCCAGGAGGGCCCGAGGCTTGCGCGAGCAGCTGACGTGACTGGCAATCGCATCGTCGCAGTCGTGACCAAGTGTGACCTTGTTCCTACAGATGAGAGAAGATTCGTAAGCCCACGCCCCTTCCAGAATAGTGTGTATCTCAGCTGATCAATCCAGGTGTTGAGAGCTATGCGTAATAAGGAACGACATCTCGGCCATCCCTGGTTCGCAATGAGAAGTCTCTCTAGCGCTGAGCGCGATCAAGACTGCACCCTCGAGACGCGGAATTCTATCGAGGAGTCATTCTTTGCAGAAATGGAATGGGCCGTGTTGAAACGCAGGAGGCGCGTAGGGGCTCTTGCTCTAAAAGACCATCTCAAGACCAGGGTGAATGTCATGCTCCGGGGCAGTATAGACCTACTAACAACGATACTTAACACACCATCACATTCCGTTGCACCAACACGCGCCCCCAGCGTGACAGAAAAGGCACAGCCAACAGAAGTTTACGCAACGTCGCAAGAGACCGTGGTAGCCGATGTCGATCTAGAATTCGCTTCCGATGCACCACGCCCAACACCGCTTCTCAACGCCTTCATCGTCGGATTGACTGTTGCTATATGTCTCTGCCTCATAGCGCTCGGCTGCAGCACGATGGCACTGGAGATTGCGAGTGAGGGACACTGGTATCGTTTGTTTCTTCTGGTAACGGCTCCTCCTCAGATTATTTTGAGCTTGGTAAGAACAACACCTGAGCGCTATACCAAAATTGACTGCTGACTTGGTACCAGTTCTTCTGTCAAGCTATTGTCGTGACTATCTTTCAAATGATTGGACCCGTCACGCAACTAAAAGTTAATTCCAAGTTTTACTCCGCCAAGCGAACGAGACGCCTCGACGGAACAAAAGTACTCTTGCCCCACGTTACCATTCAATGTCCAGTGTATAAAGAGGGCCTCGAGGGTGTCATTCGACCAACAGTACAGTCCCTGTCTGCCGCCATCCATAATTATGAATCTTTCGGCGGTACAGCTAGTATCTTCATCAACGACGATGGTATGCAACTTGTGTCCCCTGAAGAAGCTGAGGAACGACGCATGTTCTACAAGGAGAACAACATTGGCTGGGTTGCCCGGCCAGGGCATAACCCAAACGGTGAAGGAATAAAGAGATTCATACGCCGGGGCAAATTCAAGAAAGCTTCCAACATGAATTATGCACTTGGCATTAGCTTAAAGGTAGAAGACAAGCTGATGCAAATTGACCGCAACGAGAAGTGGACACAAGCCGAGGAGAATGCAGCATATCAGAAATGCCTCGATGAAGTCCTCTCCGAAGAGCTAGGCCGTGCCTGGGTAGGCGGTGACATCCGAGTCGGCGACTATCTCCTCCTCGTCGACTCTGACACCCGCGTCCCAACAGACTGTCTCATCGACGCCGTCAGCGAACTCGAAGCCTCACCCCAAGTCGCAATCCTTCAGTTCACATCCGGTGTCATGAACGTCACGACGAGCTACTTCGAAAGCGGCATCACCTTCTTCACCAACCTCATCTACACAGCCATCACCTACGCAGTTGCCAACGGCGATGTCTCACCCTTTGTCGGACACAATGCGTTTATACGCTGGTCTGCTCTACAAGAAGTTGGTTCTGAAGACGGTGGTATTATCAACAACGAGAAGGATCCAAATGCAACAACGCCGTATGAGAAATTCTGGTCCGAGTCTCACGTGTCCGAAGACTTTGATATTTCTCTGCGCTTGCAAACACTGGGTTATCATATTCGCCTGGGGGCTTATTGCGGCGACGGCTTCAAAGAGGGTGTTTCGCTCACTGTTTACGACGAGTTGGCCCGGTGGGAAAAATATGCGTATGGCTGCAGCGAGCTTCTGTTCTGGCCTATAAAAGACTGGTGGAGACACGGTATCTTCACACCGCTGTTCAAACGCTTTATCATGTCGAATATGCCGCTTGGGTCTAAAATCACCATCATGTCATATATCGGCACATACTACGCCATCGGCTATTCTTGGATCGGGTCGCTGCTGAACTACTTCCTCATTGGCTGGCTCAACGGAGAGCTTGATCACTATTATATGAGCAGTTGGCGTGTCTGGGTTGCTCTTGTTGTCGTCTTCTCTATAGCTGGCAACATCACCCTCGCTTTGATCAGATACCGTTCTCAACAGGTTAGCTTGCTCAAGGAGCTCTGGACATGTTTCAAGTGGGTGGCTCTCATGTTTATTTTCCTGGGCGGCATTTCCATGCATGTCTGCAAGGCAATTCTTTGTCACATGCTGTCCATCGACATCAGCTGGGGTGCTACGTCAAAGGAGGTGGAAGACACGAATTTCTTCCAAGAGATCAGTATCATCATCGCGGGCTTCAAGTATGTATTCATATTCTGCTTGGCAGTGACAGCGTTGATGATCTGCGGTGTCTATGCATTCCCATATTTATGGAGGATTGATGAGCTCGTTGCGATCTTTCCTCTTGCAACTGTCATCTTCTGTCACTTCTTTCTCCCGATTGCTCTGAATCCAAACTTGATGAAGTTTACCTGGTAAATAGATAGATAATAGAGTCAATAGAATAGAACTTACATAACACTTAGCAGAGATGCATCCCTTGACTATTCTCATAGACATAACTCGTTCCTGTTACTTGATGTCAATAATTGTTTGTCAATGAGTTGAACCGTCTACACATTTAATCCTCCTCTTGTATATTTTATTGAAGGTTATAGTGCTTCTTCTTAAGTAACCCGCTACGAATTTCCCGGGTTCTCTCAAGAACACTGTGTCTCTGTAATTAAATTTCAAAAGCTGACGATCTTTATACCTGGTTTCTAGTGAACCTTACTCATTCTTTTGCTTATGCTATTAGGCAACCCAATCATGTTAATCAGAATATTCAAGGAATTAATCAGTATCACAAATCGACCGAGAATGTATCATCGTAAGAATCGACAAAGATGCACTGATATAGCCAACAGCATCGCAATGGTAATAAGGTTAGTTTTGGTGCAAAGGACAAACTCTTTCTCATGGGTAACTGTGATGGCTGTGGCTTGATCATCGTTTCACACGATACATCAGAAAAGTGATATGGTGATCAATTGTCAGAAATTCATGCTCTGTGAATGATTATCGACTGAGCTATGTGCAGTTAATTCACAAAGAGGTTTGTTCTGGCGGTTACATTTACGGCGATGTTCTGAGGCACTGATTACTGATGATTGAACAAATGTTGCACATATCTGATTCATCAAGGGAATGGGTAATGAGGCAATGAGTCTCGAACAACACTCTGACACAGACATATTCGCGCTGAACAATTGCCAAGCTGACCATCTCATCTAGTACATAAACCTCGCTCAATCCGCTCAACTCGCATCAATCATTCCCATCTCTATCTCATCTTCCACACACATCAAACAGCATTTACTACAACACCACGCACTTACAAACATACAAACATACAAACACAGCAGAAATCTTCAAAATGGCTTCCCAACCTCTAGTCGACAACGCTATGCCTGGCACTCGATGCCCCAAATGCTCTACGCCCGAGAATGATGTATGGGTCATTCCTGGCCGCAACTGCGGACATTGCGGCACCTATTGCGAATAGAGAGCGTGCCACCAAGCTCGGAGGATGACCCTATGGAGGCACGAACATCCCACGAGAGAAATTGAATGTGGGAGAGAAAGCTGATGCCACTTAGAGAGAACAAGAACAATGACGTGACATCAGGTAGAAGGTGTGGACCAGAATTTACAAAACTCTAACAAATTATTATTTGTCCCTATCCTTTACGCGATACCATGCTCCGTGATTAACAATACACCTTATCCCTAGATAACTGAAGTCGCTTCGCCCTGCAAAGCGAAAAGCTCCCGCTTCCAACCAAACCACTTCGTCATTCTCTTCCCCATGATTCGTAAGAGAATCGGATCAATCTTGTCAGCAGGATGCGGTTTGTGGAAGACAATACTCCCTCCCGCCCCAGACCCAGATACCTGCTTGAAAGACACCGCTGACCCGGTGTTCCTTGCTGTGAAGCCCGCCTTGGTCATCATGTTGACGAATCGATTCCATGTAACATCCTTGGCAACACCGTCCTTGCTGGGAAACATGAGACGAATGACTCCTAGTGCTTCTTCCGGCAATGTTATGACAGTTTCTTTGGTCACCTCTCCTGCATCTTCAGCTTGCGGTTCTGTGACATCATTGCTAGAAGATCCCTGCTCTCCTCGTGTCTTGACCTTCTCTCGGCCTTGTACTATCGTGGTAGACGTGAGGCTCGGCTCGGAACCTGCGTTGAAGGCTTCATCAATGGGCGTGGCTTTGTCTGCGATCTTGATTGCAGTGAGGATCTCAGCCTCAGCCCGTCGCTTCTCCTGGATATACTCCCGACTGAGGTGTGCTGAAACCACGCCAAGAAGATCCCCAGCCTCTTCCGAGCTGAAAGCAGTATCGCTCTTTGTCAAGTCTTCTCTCACATATGCCCTGATTGATCCCCAGAACTTCTCCACCGCTGTAGAGAGCGCTCGAAGCTGTGTAGCGCGCCCAGAACCTTTTGAACCAGTTGGTGGCTTCACACGGTAGAAGTCTTCCATAAAAGCCGTTCCGATGTCTTTGAACACTTCTTCATTGATCGTAAGTGGCCGACGAATCTTCCAAAACCCGCGATGTTCTGTAGCAATTACTTCATCCAGTGTTCCCAAGGTGGTTTGAGGCCTATGTGAACGGACTGCAACAAGCATTTCGTGACATGTTGATAGGTCAGAGAGCATCTGGTACGTGATCTCGTCCAACCTTTTCCCTTCCGAAGCATTGTTGGACAAATGATCCCGGAGCATGGCGAAGAGCATGGCATGGTCGAAATTCAGCGGAGTGTCAGGCTTTCCCTGTAGTTGAACAAGGCACCAGTCGAGGGGGTCGTTGGTAAGTGCTTCTTGGGTATTGGGAATCGTAATGCGTTTCACTAGGCCCATTGTTTTGGACGAAGCGTAGCTGCGGTCGATTTTCCAGTGTTTCTGCATGCCTGGCATAAGCGGCAGAAGTTTCCCAAGTAGTTCGGCTCTGAAATTGACCTGGTTGACGAGCAGAAGCTCAAGAGCACCCAGAGCCTTGTCATACTTTGGGGGCAAGGGCATCCCGGGATAAATACTGTCGCTGAATCGCCTGCGAACAGCCTCCACGTTGTTGCACTCCATTTCGATCCATCGCCACCAAAGGTGACTTTCGATCTCGAGAACAATACGTTGCGTAAGCATCATAGCTCTCTGTTGGTCTGGCGCCTTCTTGAAGGCCTCAGTTGCGAACCAGATCTTGACATGTCGTCGCATGTAATCGCTGTCGCACTGCAGGTACCATAGGTGATCGCCAGTCTCCTCCAAGCGAGACTTTGCGAGCGTGACGAGGTAATCGCAGTTGAACATTGGGGGACGTGAAAAAGCTTGGTTGGTGTAGGGAGACCAGAACTCGATGGCGCCTGTCTCTCGGAAGGCTTCGTGGTTGACGAGGTCGTGCCACTTCTCAGCTCGTGGGGTTTGCAGGGGATCCACGCCTTCGAGAATCTTGTCGACGATATTGCACAGAACCTTGAGAAGGAAAGCCTGTGCTTCGAGTATCAGGATCGCTCTGGGGTACCCAAGAATATCACCACGGTGCGCGGCTTTTGCTTCCCAATCCACCAGTGACCCAAATATATCTCCATGCATCACGACGCATTTGGCAGAGAAGTCGACATCGAAGTACCCAGCTGCCCAGCTGACTTTGAGTTGATTGCTGTCAAAGGTCGCCCAGGACTGCGGAGGATAGGCCGTCCTGTAGTGGAGTAGAGCAAAGAGCACGGCAGGATTGGTCTTGAGGACGTGTACGTTGAGCCAGGGAAGTAGGAGTTGGCGTCTGCGCTCCGCCTTTCTGTCAAGAATGTAGTACTTCTCGCGCATGTAGTTGTATCGCGGGAGAAGCCACTGTTGTGCTTCGAGGTCGGGCGCCGCCTCCTTGAGTAATGTCGCTCGCTTGGCTTGGCTCTGCTTCTTCCACCGGGTTATCAGGATGTCACCGAAGACCTGAACCTTTTCGCTCAGTCGGCTTCTGCGCTTCTGAATATCGTCTACAAAAGAGCGAGCGCGACTCTCTGCTTGAACATTTGAAAGTCTTTGGTGGTAGGAGTGCTCCGGGTTCTTTTGCGAATTCTCGGGGTAGAAACCATCCTGGCAGTCGGAACACGGGCATGGCGGTGGGCGAATAGAGTCCTCGAGAGCCGGGAGGGTGAAATAGTACTGAGGAGGATCTGGCTCCTGATCGCGGAGTAGTCTGAACGGGTTCATTGTGGCGATGTTGATTCCGCAGGATGCTGCACAAATTGAGTTGAGTTAAGTTGAGGCCTCGACTGAAAATTTCATTTTCCACAAACACAGTCTCATGCGTCAGACGCGTTAAGGCGGGGGCCAATGAGTCAGCTACTACGGCAACGCAGTGTAACGCAGTGCCAACGACCTTGTCCTTACAGAAGACTTAAACTGTACGGATTACATTTACTAAATAACACAAGGAAGTAGCACTAACATAAAAAACCGAATAGTTCGTGTTTTATAAAGGATGCCGGCAGACAATGTACTGTTATCTCGATGTAAACGCTTGAGACTTGATAACCTCTTATTATAGTTGATAATATCTGCAAGGAGAGATCTCCACTTAAATCTTCCTATCAGGACAGTTCTGGAAAAAGCGAGGCAGGGAGATTTACTTGACAGGCATAGATCAGGCTCTCGCAATCTTTCCAGGTCATCGGGAGACCTCTCCAAGGGCTCGATCAACTGCACATGTTATTGTAGCGCGGTTAGAGGCTTGGAGCCATTTCTCAAGTGCAAATTCCTGCTATCCTTAAGAAGAATCGTATAAATTTCCTGATATACATGTTTAGCAAAATGCCATTGTTAAATTTATCGCCAGAGATCTCTCAAGTTGACTTATTTCCTATAATGGAGAAGTAGTAGGAGCATAGGAACGTGGTGATGAGGGGCAGCATTGATCTTTGTGGCGTCTTGTCCTGACCCTTGTTTGAGTCGACTTGAGTGCCGTACTAGACAATTAGCTTGATCACTGCCAGATTCTCCCATCTGGAGACTATTGACAGCGGCCGCTTTATAAACGGATAGACTTGAAGTTGGAACTGGCCCCATTTTTCAAGAGTGGTTGGACCTGTTAGAAGTCAGGAATATCCTTAGTCCGACCCCGTGTCTGTCAGGATCACCTTATACGTAGTCGCATGGCTATACGTTTTACCCTTTTCTTAAATCAAGAACAGACATACATCTTCACAGGACCCTGGCAATTCAATCGATGACTACTGTATCCCAGAGTCGTGTGTAGGGCTAATGACCTTGACAATTTGCATCAGCACATGCTTTAAGGAGTAACGAATTACACCGTCACGTCCGTTCGCAGACGCATACATCAGTGGGTTCCTCTGTAGAGAAGTCATTATACCCGCTTTGATATTGTTCGCAAGTAGCGGCTTTATATATTGTTCGTGCCCATAAGGAGCTGGAAACCATGGCCGGTTGTTCCCTATTATTTTATATCGCTGTTGAGAAGCAGACATGTAATAGCCTGTTGACCAGTTCGAGCCATGTAGAGTATTGCCGTTCTATCGGTTTGAAAGTATTAATATACAGTAAAACTTACATTTCTGGTTTAACTTCAAGGAAAACTGTAGGATGTAGCACTTGATGCCAAATTGGGTCATAACAATAGAACCTGAGGGCCTTTTGGCGTTTCTGAAAAAATCATGGGAATGGTATCATTGAGGGATTTCCAGGCCAAGCAGTGATAAGGATACGAGATTTTCAGGTCGATAGATATGTGATCAAGTGTGGTTCGGCATCTTCTTGCCGTTGCATAAAGTCACAACACCAGCAATACTCAAGGCACGTTGAAATAGGGCAACAAATAGCTATTTACCTAGAAGCTAAACTGAAACTTAATGCTGGCTGTATTTATGAATCAATCTGCCTAATCGCGAGCGAGCGCGTGTAGACATGATAGCCAAGTTACTTATCTGCTGTGAATGAAATTCGGATTGCAATTGTCTAAAAGGAATGGAATGCCGTTGGAACTATTGAATGGAGGCCCGTTGAGATTCGTAAGCGAAATTTCTCCTCCGTTTTACCTGAAGCAGTTAGCTTCAGTAGATTTGGTGCTGTTATCCAAAACAGTCCACGCCACAAATACAGACGGGATCGCTCGCTTAAACCAATTATGACTAGAGTCTTGAGAGGCCACAAAACTCACTGGGCACAGAGTACAGAGTCTTGAATTCTGTCTGTTTTCCTCTCGGGTAAAGCGCCGGTCTAGACTTCCAGTCTGAACACGGTAGTAACAGGCGAACTCGCTTTACGACTCACTTCTTCCTCTAGCGCTGAAAAGAATTCTGATTGCTCACGGGATAGTCATTGGTAGTTTCTTGAAGTCCGCAATTAATAATTTAAAAGCGGATTGCAGGGTACTATGCTCATTCTGTCAGTGACTAGTAGACGAACAAAGATTAAGACTTGCAAGTTTAAGCTTTAGCACAACAGCTCCTCGTATGGCAGAAAGTGGCGCTTTATGTGTTGGGGTATCTAGCTAGGGTAGTGCTATTGACTCAAGACTAGTAGCTCACATGGCTTTTTGTCGAAACAAGATTGAACCTGTGCTGGGACTTGGGGTTCGCTGTGAAGTTGCAACGCAATTTACAAGCCATTTAGGCCTTTGCTTTTTCTGCGGGTTTGACTGTCGGATTCCATCAAGTCCCTTAAAACATAGCCTGTTCTTCCTTCGGTCTATGTCTCTTCCCTTTGTATCTCACCTCATTCTGTGGCTATTTGGCGCGAATTATTTGCTTACATTTGCATGATGCACTTTTCCTCCCTCGCCACCCTGGCCCTCGCCGCTGTCGTTGGGGCAGCCGACAATGCTGTTCAGTATGTCCTGGCCACAGCAACAATAACCCAATGCGCTTCCCTCGAAGTCTTGACCCGAACCGTCGATATCGAGGTCCTGGGTCCGACCTGCATCATAAAATATCCAGAGATCTCTGGAGGTCCTATCATCGTCGAGGTTGAGGCCCCCGAGTGCGATTGCGGATGCAAGACTTGCATAAACACAATTGAGTATACGACATACTTCCCAGCCTTTTGCTCTACGGGGCTCTACGAACAAAAGTACGTTATTACAGAAACATATAAAGGAATGGAGGCCCAGCCTACCATAGAGTCTCAATCTATTCCTTTCGGATTCACTTGCGATGTGCAGACGTGTACTACATGTGGTCCTGAGCCCATCAATGCCACTATCACGTACCCAGTCAATGGGCACCCATACATCAACGGCGGTGCTCGCCCCACACTGATGCCTGCGAAGCCTGGCGAGATCAGTGCCGAGAGCGGCGGTCCAAGTGGCGGACAGGCTGGTAGCAATGACGGCAGCCGTAGCGGGCAGAACGGAGAAGAGAATGGTAGCAACAGTAGCAGCAATAGCGGTACCAATGGTAGCAACCACAGCAGTAGCAAAAGCGGTCAGAATGGAAGTCACGATGGTAGCGAGACTGGCAACAACAGTGTTACCAATGGCGATAGCAACGGTGGTAGCCAGAGCGGTCAGAATGGTGGACAGGATGCGAAGTCCAATAATGGAAACGCCGAGCCGGAGATTACAAGAACTGATGGCGGATTTGAGTCAAGTGTCAGGCCAACCTCCGGCACTTATACTTCTGAGGCTGTCTCTCCCGGTATGTTTCTTTACCCTCGAATCTCACCTTTCTCACTGTATCCTTACTAAGATCTAAGAAGGAACTTCAGATGTCCCAGTTGCCGTGTCGGGAGCCGGTCGGGAGCTTGGGTTGACTGGCCTGGGCATGGCATTCTTAGCTGTTGTCCCACTGATTTCCCTGTAGACAGTCCATTTCTTTCCATTATCGACGCACATTTATTACTTGACTTTACTCAATATACTTATGTAAAAGATGTCTTCCTCTTGATTAGATATATCTACTCAGTCCACCTGCAAGAGGTCATTCCATGGTATTGTGAACATGGCCGCATAATGTACTTACTTAGGCGACGACACAGAACTCTGATTGCCAAAATTGGAGGAAGTTGGCCTGCCTCACCTTTGGGGAAATTCAGCTACTCGGTTGACCCAATGCGTCGTATTTATGCGACATAACCTACAAATCATTAATCGATCTATAGACAGCCGAGATAAAGTAGAAAGAATTGGCACAGTAAATGAACTGCATATTATGTAAAGAGTAGAATTTGAAACAGCGCTAACTCTACCCTGTGACTTTGGCCTGCAGTAGAATAATGACTATGATATTATGACTACTGAATGCTTACATTATCAACACCAATAGCAAAAGTAGCTGGCCCTTGGGAACAATATAAATACAGCTCGATCGTCCAGGAGGAACCGCTGCCCCAGACACCGAAACTCTCTGACTGCCAAACGTTCGGAGTCGTATTCACGTCGAAAGCGGCCACGAGGTTGCCGGCTGTCATTACCCTGAAACTACACTGGGAAACGCCAGAGGGTGTAGGGCTGTCCATAACCACGTAGGAGAGACTCATGGAGTTGGGTGACGAGACGAGGCCAGTCTGGGAGGCTGATGCCGAGGGAAGCCCATTGACTACAGATAATTGACTAGTGAACTCATGTTAAAAAGGGTTCTTGATTGTAGAGCGTTCACAATGTGACTTACAGATACTGGTTGCCTGAAAGAGCCATACCAGGATTGTTGACAATAGCGGCGCTGCCTGACAAAGTCCATGCTGTGTTTGGGTTATCTTCAAAGCCGCCGTCTTGTACTAATGATGGGGCAGCTGAGGTGGTTGTTGAAGTTTCTGACGAAGTTGTTGAGCTCGTTGAATCTGTAGAGGTCAAGTCTGCAGTAGAAGCTGAGCTTGTAGTCAGGTCTGAACTAGAAGTCGAAGTCGTAGTAAAGTCTGAACTAGACGCCGAACTTGTAGTCAGGTCAGTCGAGCTTGAAGTAGACTCAGAAGTAGACTCAGAAGTAGAGCTTGTAGTCAAGTCTGAACTAGACGGCGAACTTGTAGTCATGTCAGTCGAGCTTGAAGTCGAGTCAGAAGTCGAACTGGTAGTTAACTCAGAAGTGGAGTCTGTTGTTGTGCTTGTAGTCGAGCTTGTAGTCAAGCTGGAAGTTAAGCTAGAAGTTGAGCTTGCTGGCATTGAACTTGTAGTTGAGGTTGAGGCTAAGTCAGAAGTCGAGCTTGAAGACAAACTTGAAGTAGAGCCAGAAGCTGAGCTTGTCATGATCAAGCTAGACGTAGAGCTTGTTGTCGTTGAGCTAGTGAAAATTGAGCTCGACTTGGAGCTCATAGTACTGATGGCTGAAGTGTCACCAGTACTTGAGCTGTCGGTTGTAGTAGCACTGGAGGTAGGGCTTTCTGTGGAAGATTGGATGCTGCTTATGTCGTCTGAGGTAGCGTTCTCTGTGCTTGTGAGGATGGTTGTGTCTGTCACCAGTGAAGTTATTTCAGACGTCGATTCAAGTGTAGTTGACGGGGTTCCCTCTGAGCTCAAGTCACTAGATACAGTAGCTGATAGTGGGGTAGTAGAGGTCGAGGAGGATGAAGTCGAACTAATCATTGTGCTGGTAGTAGACTCTCTAGATTCTGTCGACTCCGAAGATGGGACCGTTGTTTCACTTTGGATCGTAGTAGTTGATCCAGTTGTTCCAGTTGTTCCAGACGAAGCTGCCTCGGATGTACCTGTAGCAGAGGAGCTTGTAGTTGAACCATCAATTATTCGACCATTTTGACATTGCTGTGCTTCATAAACACGAAGCGCAATTGGAACACAGCCAGATGGCTGGCTGGAAAAGGTGATGTAGACTACGCCGGTAGAGGTCTGGCAGAAGCCTGCCTCACCGTTGGGGAGACTAGAGTTCTTGAACACAAGTACCTCATTAGACTCCGCGAAAGTCTTGGTGATGATATCGTCTCTGTTGCCGATAGGTTTCTGCTCAGATAGTGGTTTAAAATCCTCACCGGCATAAAACACAGGCACGCCACCCACAAGCAGCTGCCCTTCCACACTAAGGGTGAAGTCTAAAGCAAACGTACAGACTTGAGTGCCTCCAACAAAACCACCAACTGGTGCTCTCTTGATGTTGCGTCTGCGGTTGGTGGTGGGAGGTTGAATTTGAAGAATAATTGAACGGCCGCTGGGTTGAGGAATTGAAGTTGTAGTAACATCTGTGCTGGCAGTGGTTGAGCTTAATGGCATTATAGAGCTAGTGAATCGATCGCTCGTGCTCAGAGTAGTGGAAGAGAGTGTTTGCATTTGAGAGCTGTTCAGCTGATCGGTCGCGGTCAAAGTTGAAGAGCGGCTGGAGGTTTGCTGGGAGCTGGAATGAGCTTCAGTTGTCTTTGTCTCTAGGCTCGAAGGCTCAGACGTAGAGGAGTTTGAAGTAGTAGATGAGATTTCTGTAGATGCGCTGTTGATGTCTGTCCCTGCAACGATGTTAGATTATGCGACAAATAAAGCGAAATAAACTCCATACTGAACGCGATTGAACTGGAAACAGGCATAAGGTAGGTCGAGAGATACGTGACGCACCACACATCGCTCTCGATCGCAGCAAGGTCAGATGCCAATACCAAGTCGTACAGGCCCAAGAGGGGCACAAAGATGGTCGATAGTCTCATTCTGTACTGCTAGAAAAACAAATAATAGGAGAAGTAGTGGAAGCTGGATGCCTTAGGGGACAGAACTAGTATATCAAGTCATCCAATTCTAATTCGGGATCTGGACGGTTCTTCCTAATAAATCACAAGTAAAGAATTTAGCCAGCAGGTCATTCTTACCTTAAAAGGTTCAGGCCTCTCTGGTCTCAGTTATCAGGAACGCAATTGCCATGCAATTCAGGTAGATGGAATACGTAAATACGCACTTATACGAGGGTTGCGCCCTGTCCTGAATCAAGCAATTGTGCTTATCTACATCCAGGTGCACTCTTAAGTTTTGAGGCCTTTGCAATCTCTTAGGATACGACTTTTACTAAAATGGTGGTGTCTCTGCAAGTCTAGATGCACTAACAGAATAAGTCACATTCCAGACATTCGTAAGCATTGACAGGGTGCAAACAGCTGCTAACTACACTTGGTATAGCCCTTGTGGGGAGGTTTGCTGATGCGAACCTGGGGTTTTGCTTTAAGAAGTCGACTGAAAGCAAAGTATACTCAAATTTCGCGCACACTAGTCAACTTACAATTTTAAAAGTAAACATATTAGGTTAAAAGAGTTGGGATGATGTCTGGAGCCGCAAGCTGTATTATTAAATGCTATATTTATGGGAATATACTGAGTCTCCTCTTTGTCATACTTGGCTCCTAAAGTCATTTCCTCATGTAAATGTTCTAGACCTAACTTAAGTTTTTGAGATATTTCTTAAATCAGTGAATGCTAATATCTAAGCGTTTTATGTTCCGAGGTTTCGGCCGCTGGCGGTAAACGGCAATATAAAGTTCAATAGTTTGCTGTCAGACAGAATCAAATCCATCTTATGCCGGTAGCCGAATATTATATGTTTCACCAAGGACCACGCTCTTTGGGTTAGGTTTTCGGGTAGACGGCAAGGGATGGAAAGCCTCAGTACTTCCCCATGGATCCACTGAGTTATCCAACCAGAGCCCTGTCTTGATCAAAATATTCGCCCATGCCGCCACCCATTCGGATTTGATCAAAATAACAACCATCTTCTGGGAAACTACCATTCTCTCAAGCTTCCTTCGCAAACACTTGTTTGTGGAATCACGGCATCTTCGGTTACCTTCCCTGAATCTTGGGCTCACGCACCATCGATAAAAGTCGTCTGTTCTACTAGGCTTGTTGGTACATAAAGCGTTCTTCCTTCACCTTGTCTTCGCGAATCACTGTGTCTCAAAGTATCAGGTAAAAGATTATAATGTCTTGTATGACAAAAAGCTACAATTCAAATGTTACACCCACACTGTGATAAGGTTGAGGGGCCAGAAGAGGCTTCAGCCTCCAGTTATACCCACATAAGCCGGACATTGCCGCCCTCATGCATCGCTGCCAGTAAATGCCGCCCAAAATAAGCATGAGTACAAAGACTCTCTAATGGTGAAAACCTGATTCAATCAACGTCTGGGAGGGACCCTTAGAGAACAGACTCCCAGATTATTTCACTCGGCAATGTGGATCTAGTCCGGTTGGCATCAGCACCATAGTCGAGAAGTAACTGAACAATTGTCTCATGACGCTGATCGGTTGCTATTTTTAATGGTGTTTTTCCATAAATGTTCTCTGAGTCAACTTCGGCGTTATTATCGAGAAGCAGCTGGACAACAGCCGTGTGCCCGTCAAAGACCGCAAGCGAGAGAGCCGTTTCGTTATCAATATCCTTCCAGTAAACATCAGCACCATTGGCAAGAAGCAGCTGAACAATGTTCATGTGTCCCTCCATAGCTGCTAATAGTAATGGCGTTCGTCCATAATCAGTCATCGAGTCGACTTCGGCATTATTATCAAGAAGCAGCTGAACAATAGCTGCATGTCCCATCTCAGCCGCAAACGATAGAGGGGTTTGATTTTCACTATCTTCTGGATCCACTTGAGCATGATTTTTAAGAAGTATCCCTGCAGTAGTGGCGTGTTCCCCCATACACGCACGGGACAGTGCCGTTTTTAACGAGGAATCTCTCCGATCAATATTGGCACCGTTCTCGAGAAGTAGTTCCACGACGGCGCTATGGCCGTTACCAGCCGCATAAAATAATGCCGTTCTATTGTGGCCATCTTTCAAATCAGGGTCATTCTCGAGAAGAAGAATCTGGGCTTCTGCTACATTCCCAAAGTATGCTGCCAGATGCAGCCCCTTTATGTTCTCCGGGACTCTCTGACTGCCAGAATACCTTCCCCAAGCCATTAACGACTGAGCTGATGACTCTACGTTCGAGTCTGACTTGAGAAACTCAATAACACCTTTGCAGATACTTGTTGCGTTCCGAGCGTGATCACCCCAATGATGTGAAGCATAATGGAAAAGTGGGTTTTCATCCAGCCGTTCCCTCAAAGCTTGACCAGTGGAACAGATTCCACCTTTGAACTCTTGGAAGTTCAGATACGTAACGCAAGTTATTGTAATCTCATTCTCAGCTTCCGGAAACCAGGTATCTTCTGTCTCCTCAAAGTATTCCTGCGTTGTGTAATGCACAAGCCGGATAATCCCGTCACTTTCGCCAACGGTGACGAGTCCGACACATACTTGTAAGATGATACTAGTCTCCGGTAATGCATCCCAGTTAAGCTCCGCTTTGCCAACCTCGACAGCCAGGGCGTGCCGAAGCTCTTCAACAGTAAGTGGCCTCAATGCGCAGGTAATCCACGCAATAACTCGCTTAGCCAGGTCTCGGTGACTTGGCGATTGGCTCAAGATACGCTCCATGGCAGTGTCATATGCTTGAAAGTAGGCATCCGAGCCGCTTGGTAACTTTGCAAGAGCCTTGTGGACAGTATCAACCGAAATCTTGTCACGCAGAGAGTCAAGATGAAGCCGGGCCAGAAGAAACCTAAGAGCTTTAGCGAGGGTTATTTGGCCTGAAAAACATGCCACTTACATTCCTTACACAGAGCGAACTATTTCGTCTATAACGAGCTCTTCTAGTCTCTCTCGGCGAAAGAAACCTGGCATTTGCGGCATGTGGCCACGGAGGAACCTCTCAACATCCTCGTCTATAGCGCGTATTTCAAGTACAACACTAGTCTGGAACTGATCTTTGACCTCGGGTATCGGCCTAGAGGTGGCAAATACGTTGGCCTTGGAGTGCAATTGCAGCTTAAATATCTCCTCTAGGAACTTTGTCTGAGTACCATCAGTTGCGCAACATTCATCGATGGCATCAATTATAATAAAGATCCTCGAAAATAGTTTGGCGGTAGATAGAAGGTTGCTTGATACATCTTCTAATGATGGTGGTGACCCCTTGGTCCTGTGCCGTTCATAGAGTAGCTTGATACTCTCTGGCATAGTCGGTAGACTTTGTAGAAGTTGCTTAAGAAGGCTTGCTACAAGCTCTTTTGCCGTTTGATCGTTCTGGCGCTGAAAGTTGCAATAAACATATGCAATACTAACAGTCTTATCCTTGGAGAAAAGTGCTTCTAAGCTTTCAATAACAATTGACGTAAGGAATGTTTTTCCAGCGCCTGGAATACCCGGACAGAAAAGAGTTTGATTAGGGCTGTCCCGCCAATGGCAGAACTCGGATGAATTAATAAACCATTGACCAGTTCCCGGGTGGCGCCGTCCGATATTGTCGCTTTGAAGAAGACTATAATTAGCAGGAGTGAGCCACTGCAAGATGTCTTTGTTCTCCTGGGTTTGGTGATGATGAATAATCGTGTTGACCTTTCTAGAGGTTGCTGTGACCTCGTTCTGTATGCCTATCAAATCACCAACATGTCAGTTGCCAATACAATAAGGGAGGTCAAGTCTCAAGCCATAAGTGTCCAGCAGCTTACTAAAATACAAGTATATCTCTCATAGACTACCGATGTATTATTATTACTGACCTGAAAGTACGTCGCTGATCTTGGCCTCAGCTTCAGCCCTGTTGGGATGAATTTGACAGAGGAGATCCTTGGCATATGCAGCAGCAGTCATCGCTGCATAGCCTTGCCATTGGTCATTTTTGTGCGTATCGGCATAGTTACAGATACCACGAATGACCAGGCAGGGGAAGTGATTCATTACACCTGCTGCTTCTGTTTCGAAGCAAAGAACACCTTTCTTCGCAAGTTCATCGCGGATAGTAGCGTCCTTCATCAGCTTGTTCGATGATGCAATGAGGCCGTAGTGAATTGCCGGATTATCCTCGTCGCTAGTCCTTTCAGCGCGGACTATTAGGCTCGATGGATCGTTGCTGCAATGGTCACAGTTCGGGTCATCATGCGGCTGGTGGAGCACCCAAGGTTGGTAAAGTCGATCAGTAATCGCCTGAGGCCTTCCATACTTCTTGCGCAGTCTCCCTTTGTGGTCTAAAATTTCGTTGATGTCGCGTTCAAGCTGATGCCCTTCGGCCTCATGTTCAGACCTAAGTCCCTGCATAGCTGTTCGCAGTACCATAGGCGGCCGATTTAGAAATCCTGACTCCTTGAATGGTTGACCTTGTATGACCTTTCCATGATCGAAATTGAATACACCACCGTGCTTTACATTGTCTGAAGTACTCACGACGATATCCCCAAGACGGATATCGTGTTTCGGACTGGGCGCGCCGCCACCAGTACCAACCATCAACCCAATCCTGATATTGGGAAAGCTATGGAGCATATCTCTTGCTACGCTAGCAGCAGGCGCTATGCCATATTCTCCATGAGGAAGGACGGCAATCACGGTGTTGTGTTTCCCAATCTTGCCTAGGGTATAAAGATTGTTATCATTTGTTGATACAAACTCCGGCGGCTCGTGTTTTTCGTCGAGGAACGTTTTCGCAGCAACATATTCAATATGTAGGGCACAAATCCACCCCACTATGTAGTCGTGCGGGTTGGACATGACTGGCGATATTGCCTTGATATGTTTGCGGTGAGAACTCGAACGATGTCTGTGATTTTCAAACCCCGCTCTCACCGCAGCCTGATTTGGTCAGCTATCAATTTCTCTTCCTGATTCGTCCTGCAGCCGCCGAGGCAACAACGCTGACAATCTTATTGGACTAAAAACCTTCACTGCAAATGTACTAGCTTAGATTAGAGAGATTAACACTACGACTCTCGATCTTTCAAAGAGCCATTTTTGCAACTTCTGTGCCACTTCTCTTGATCTCTCTTATCACGCTACAAAACATCCAAACAGTCAAAGATTCGCTGAAAATCAAAAATACAACCCTGCAATACGACAGGTCATCAGAGCGCACGATGTCACCTTGTTACTAGATACAATTCTCAAAGGTGTGGGCCTATACCCTTTCCATAATCAAATCTCGACATAAATGACTAACTATTCAGCTACTAAAGGTTGTGCACTCAGGCCGTGTTGGCAAAAGCCTTCTGGATGCCTTCCAATTCCTCCAAAGTCACGGGGATTATGGTGCCATGACGAGGAGACTCAGGGTATTTATACCCCGTACGCAGTGTCCACTTCCCACCAGCGAGGTCGCTTGACTCGAGCGGGACATAACCATTGCCGCCAAACTCATCAGCAAGGAGAATATACCTAGCACCACTGACATCCCCGCAGTTGGTCTTGAAGATCGAAGGCCCTTCCACCTCTTGCGTTCCCGCGTTCTTTCCGATACAGCTTGCAATCCGATGCCAGTCGGATAGCCCTGCAGTCAATGAAGAACTGCTTTCCTCTACAATATCCGCACAGCCATCGATTGTAGCCTTTGTGAAACGATAATAGACGCCATCCTCCTTGATAACAGTAGAGTCAATGCGGCCATTCGGAGGTTCATCTTGCCAGATCTTTGGCTCGCTGAACGTGATAAAATCATCCGTCGTAGCGTACACCATACGCTGGTACTCGATAGGATCATGATTGGGGTTTGCCTCATTATCATAGATACCAGACGCCCAGTAGACAACATAGGTCTTTAGTTCATCATCATAATAAGCTTCGGGTGCCCAAGTATTGCCGTAGTTATCTGGCGAGACCTCAACGTGACGCTGGGCACTCCAATTGATGAGGTCTTTTGACTCCCAGATCTCGAGGTATCGACTGCCAAAGCGTTGGGCGTCTCCCCAGCTGGTGCCGCAGCCGATGCAAAGATCAGTCGCCAAGATGTAGAATTTGTCTCCCTCATGCGACCTCAGGATGAAGGGATCGCGGACTCCACCATCGCCTTTGGTGGATGTCAAGATGGGCTTGCCATTATTGAGCTCCGTGAAGGACAGGGCGTCGTTTCCGTTACTGGCAGCCAGATAAATGTTTTCATCGCGGTTGCTGAAGTAGAGAAAGGCGTAGCCTTCATAGTTGGAGTTGCAACTAATCTCCCTCTTCGCAGCTTGCGGTCCACTTGATATGGCACCTGTAGGCGACGCAGAGGTGAGGATCGGCAAGACCGCCAAAGCGCTAAGAATGATGGATGGGTTGAGTATAGATAACATTGTCAAAGAAGATGTAGCAGAATAAGTTGTTCTGGTAGACCCAAATTAAGGGAGTGCAATATGTTTGACTTCTTATAGTTGTAGCTGGAGAAAAGTCCCACTTGCGCTATGACATCGCTATTGAAGATCACTTCTGAATAAGAGTATAAAGTTCTCACGTTACACATAAAGACACTAAGCTTAAGCCGAGTGATTGGATCGGATAATTTGATCGACATGACCCCAGATTCCACTTCCCCGCATTGGTTCATCAATGTTTATTTTTCAGGCGTCTTTGCTATAGCCGAGCGAATAGCATGTCTCCTACTGTTATACGAGAATTCAGGCCTCATGACCTACTAACCCGCGCCAGTCTTAAAGACTCCAGCAAGATACTCTGCGCTATGACAAAGCCGCGCCAATAGAGAGATAGAACCATAAACAATACCGGTCCTGGATAGATGGGAGAGGAACGAAAATGCAAGACCTTACACCTAAGGAATAACAACAAATTGTATAAATTATTGCCAATGTGGAATATATTTACTAGATTTAAGATACATTTTGTCAAGTTTATTTAAGTATCCTATATTAATGTGTAATATTCTCTTATGCCCTTTGTCTAGGACTAGTCTTGGTGTCTCTCTTGGCCCCGTTTTTGGACACATGTCTAAACAGTTTTGGACTGCCTTCAATACTACTTGTGGTACAGTAAGCACAAGCTCTGCCTATAGATCCCTGAAACTGCTGCAGATTGACAACTAGCGACCCTCTCATTTTCTATAGATTCGAGAGCGCATTGCAGCTGTGGCGATTGATGACTATGTCTGCAGAGCTGAGACTTTGTAGTGAATGATTGGTCTACTCCTGATGTCGGTAGGTCACTTGATTGACAAACTTTTTGATCATAGGTTATTTCGATTTAGACCAGTTATTGATATATGGACTGTTAAGTCATGCTCTACATCCAGATACGAATCGCTGCCCACTCGTCTTGAACTGCTAGTCAAAGACAAATATTTCCAAGCGCATCCCAGGCGCAAACTATAAGTACAAGTGAAGGAAAGGTTTGAAGAATTATAAAGCTCAGGAAATCGCTTAAATGTTTCCCAAAATCGAAGGCTACATGCATCTTTGCTGGAAACAGAAGCATTCCTTGCTAAGAATCACTTGGTGCAGTGACCACGACGGTGACTACCATGGCGGCATCGATGATGTGAGGCACCATGGGCACTGTGTGATCGCTGGGAACCCTTCTTTGTAGCGCTCTTCTTGGCAACCTTCGTGGGAACACTTTTTGCAGAGCCCTTGGTCGTTACAGGGGGGACAGGGTATTTTGCCGCCTTGGCTGACTCAACGATAGAGGTAGTGTGAGTAGAAGTTGGAGCTTTGACGATCGAGAGTGTTGTTGAAGAGTGCTTTTGGTTCACCACGCTGTGCTTACCACTAGTGGGCGTGGGAGCAGATTGCAAAGAAACAGCAGTTGAAACAGGTTTCGAGCTCTTTGCGCTTGTGAGCTTCACAGTGACGACACCGTGCGCCGGGACTGTAACCTTGACATTTCCGTCGGAAACGGTCACCTTGGTGTCGACCATCTGTGCCTCAGCATCCGAAGTGAAAGCTTGAGCTGTCGCGAAAGTACTTCCTGAAACGCCCAAGTCGACAGTCTGAGCAGCAGTGCCAGAGTTGGTAAGCACCATGACTACACTCCCATCAACATTCTCAAATGCACCAACAATCGTGTCTTGGACAACACCTGAAGTCGAAAGCCTATGTGCGCCAGGGCGAATGTGGCGCGACCAGTGAGCAATAGCCCAAAGAATTGAAGACACGGTGAACTTGCTGCCGTCCGTGTCGACGACGTGAGAAAGAGATCCCTTGTTGTTGGTCTCAACGCCCTCCCAGTAGATATACGCCGAGAGGTCAGCATTGACGATGCCCTGTGCGATCTTGACAGCCCACGTGAAACCTTCGTTGGAACCGCCGTTGACGTACCACGCTGTGGCAAACGCCTGGTCATTGGCAGCTCCCTCAGACATCCAAGTTGGCAGGGTAGTATTCATGGGCTGATCTGGGCTGCTAGAGTACTCGTGCGATGTGATGACAGACAGATACTTCTCCACGTCAAGCTCAGCCAGCTTCGCGGTGTAGTCCATCTGTGACCTCCAACCGATGTTGTCACAGCACGTCATCTTGATATCAGCAAGGCCCTTGGATTGCAAAGCGCTGTGTAAAAGGGGAATGACATCTGCAGCCTGCTCAGCAGTTGAGAGCATAAAGTCCGAGCCATCACCTTCATTGAGGAAGCCAACGTGCGAAACAGGGATTCCAGCCTCCTTGTAGTAGGATAGGTACTGGGCTATCATCTCAACGTAACGTTGTCTCCAGTCTCCAGATGAGCACGACACACCAGTAGTACCGCACAGACGACCCATACTCGTAGCTGACTTCATATATACAGGCGCAGACCAAGCATTGGCATAGATAGTATCTACACCGTAACTCATGGCCTGTTTGCTGAACCATACCTGACCATCATCGTCGCCATCGAAATGGAAAACAGGTTGCTTCTCGGGATTGTCGGTGTTGGTGCTCGTGATGGAGTTGGAAGCATCGCAGCCGATCTTGTTTCGGATGATGGATAGGCCCGCGCCGGTTGTAGTGTTGAAGAGAAGATCCAGGCCCTGTTTCTGCGGGCCGGGGCCGAGATTTTGGAATTGTTTGGCGTGGCCGTAGGCTTCGGAGACGCCAAAGCCATCAATGACTTGGAGTTTCTTGTTGGTGTTGACAGTAACGGATGCATCGCCGAGCGCCAGGCTGGCTTGAAAGGCAAGAGTGGGAAGAACGAGTGAGAAGAGCATGTTGCCTGATAATGAGTGCGTGATAATTTATAAGTGAAAGAAATGTTTTGCCCAAGGAAACGAATCAAGAAAATGGAAATGAATGTACAAAGAAGCAATGATGAGCACACAACGAAAGAGTGAAGAGTGAGATAGCACTCTAGCTAGATGCGCAACAGTCCACTTCTATTAAAGAAGAATGCCCAACATCAAAAGTAATTAGCTCTCTCATCAAGCGGGGAAGTAATACTGTTCAGCTCACCAGCAATTCCGTACCATCCCAGCAGCCAGCAGGGGTGTCCGGAAGACGGCACAGTTAGACGCAGCACATTTTGGCATTTTTGAGGCTCTTGTAAAATTCGAGGGGCTTAGAATAACGCAACGCAAAAGACTGCCGTTGCCGTCTACTCCGACCAGGATGGCCAGACTCTGTTGAGAAATGTGTGTTGCATCATTGGGAATGAGCTTTGTAGGGATGCCAGGATCAGAAGGGGCGACGCCTTGAAATATAGTATGCAGATTGCAGACCATAAGATCTATAATGCATTTGATCTATATGATGGAAACTTTGAGATTTTTAACCAAATATGTTATGAATCCTGCACATATTTACTCATTGTGTTACCCGAATCCCAAGAACGTGATATTAGATACAGGTGGATGTTTCCTTTATCCACTTTGATTTAGACGATGTCTGCCCATTTTTCAGTCCTTATCGAAATCAATCATCGCTTACAGAGACAGCAAAGCTTATTTCGCCGCTAACATTACGTGGGCCGTTTCAGGTTCGCCAAAATCTACTTTACCGAACCACGCTAACATGTTTGACAGGCCCGATAAGGCGGCTTGTTCGATACTGGCGCTCGGATAACCGGCAGTATCTGAAACGCCCGGACGTCCAGCAATCATGTCCAGGAAACTTGTCATCAGGAGATCAAACTGTAAGACACATCTAGGCCGCGGGAAGTGTCTCCCTGACATCCATACTCAGCAATGCACGATTCCCGTATCGAATTTCAGAGTCATTTGCCCATCGTGAATTCCTAAGCCTTGTTTCGCACCATTCCGTCCGGTCTCCAAACGAGATGATCTTTTGATTGTTTATGAATGGATTGTCCTGGCCGATAGCGGAAGCTGATAGGTGCCTCAAGCTTTGCTGCAAGGACTGAAATCATATGGAACTCAAGGCACTCACTGAGGCGGACAAGGTGAAATATTGCCCTTCGTGCTGCTCCTTGACCTGATCAAAGCGGCTTGTTCATGATGTTTTATTCCAGTTGGCTACCCTGTAGATCGGCGGGAAATCCATCTCGCTTATCTTATCGGCACCAGGCTGTCATCTATTCACGCTGCACCGTGGGGACCCTATCAGCACAAACACTGCATTTTGGTCTACCATTGGAATTCTTCTCTTGTTACGTCTCGCTTCGTTTCTTTATCTTCACCTTTGTTTGTTACTTTTTGACCTTTCAGACAGCAAAAAGGAGGCCATTTCAGGGGTATCAACTGTCATCTACTCACAAGCTACGTGCTTTACCACGTCAATTATTCGTAAATTGTATCTGCATCCCAATACCATTTGTGGGCTACGAGAAAAAAGCGAAATGTTGATCATAAAGGACGAAGAGACTTAGGTAAACTACCCTAAGCTTAGGGTGCCCTTAGATGAATTTAGTCCAACATCGACCCTAAGTTTAGACCATCTCTTGATCCAAGACATCTCGCTGAGCCAGTTATCTGACACAGAGCAACTACCTTTAACTGGAAGGCACTTCTTTACCTCCAGTAGCGCCGCTGTGATTTCCGGTTTCATGATTCCATCCCTTCGCATATCTGACCTGAGAGTCAGACCGCCATCGTCAATGGCCACAATGGGACTATACCGGGCACCGCAATGCTCATGAGCTGTCGTTTAGTATTGAAGTCGAGGTTGGCTACTGTATCTCATCCTCTCCTCTCGGTTAGCCACCTCAACAAAAGCGGCAGTAATTGGAGCACGCATCAGCTCCTTATATGCGACGTCGTCGCTTCGCCAAAGCGGGGTAGTCTACTCCCCGAATTTGAGGATGAGACTTTCAGCTTGGACCCCTATCTCAGCAAGAGAGCCCTCAGCCAGATTGAGGAGTTTGTCAATGGCCCTGAGAAGGAAGACCCCTATATCAGCAAACACTACCTAGTCGGCGAATACGGCACCAAACTTAGAGAGATTTGGGCTGCCCTGGCCATCGTCACTGCATACAAGCACAAAGCAGCTAATGCTGCTAATACGACAACGGCAACCGAGTCACTCCCCTACGGAAGAGGCCCAGAAGAAGCATCTTAGCACCTACCTATACGTATGATGACTCCGAAGGCTCTGGCACAAGCCGCGAAGGCAGCACTGTCAGCGAGTTCATGGAACAAGTGGCAGCGGAAGACCTCCCCTCTGAAGGTAGCTTTGTGCTGCTCATCACGCGGGTCTTGAACTTGATTAGCTACTGCACCCAGCCATTCGGATCTCAGTACCTGTTCTGACTCCGACGAATCTGGCCCAAGTTGCGAGGGTGGACAAGCTATCAGGGGGATATGGAACAAGTGGCACCACTTTTGACAGCAAGAAAACGCGAAACATTGATCCTAGCGGATGAAGAGATTTGGGTAAATTGTCGTAAACTTAGATTCTCTTTTGATGAATCTAGGTTAACACCTTTCCTAATTTTCGACGATATTCACACCAAAGACCTGGATGTCAGGTAAATACTTCGGAAGCGTGACGTCTGCGAGTATATTTGACACCCAGCTCAAGGCCGCGCTGAAGCACTCCAACAGGTCCCTCTTCATCGACTACCTCCAAGCCTCTGGAAACAACTGTAGTCGTCGCCGGCCGTTAGCCTGACGGGTCATCATCTTGTCGACAGCACACGGCGTGCTCCCCGCATACGAATAGCACACGTGGCGTGTTGAAGGCTTCAAGAGACAGGAAATCAAGGACTTTCTTGGAGGATGTGGGCTGGCCTTGATGTACCATGGCACTCACTTCCTAGATGTGGACTGCTTCGACAGCCGTCAAGAACTAACCTCGTCTCCGTGGCATTTTTAACGATAAAGGAACCAGAGCAGCGACGGATCTGGCGGTCCTAGCTACACCTCGCAACTGAGTTGACCGTCCTCATTCCATGGCTCCCGTCAGTGGAGAAAATTATTTCCGCCACGCCTCCGCCGAATTCACAACGCGCGATGCTCAGTGGCTGTGATATAGTTGAGAGTTTAAAAGAAGCTTTAGCCCCAGAGCACAAAGGCAAACAGCAACAATCAACACATAGTCATCGCCCTCATTGTTGCCTAATATCTTACTTTCAGCCGAAGAACTTGGTATCCTGATAACTAACTTTAAATGCGTTTAAATAAGTGCCTGCGCGCTGCTCTTGCGTGAGGGTGATCGCCAAAAACAAACATCATCGCCAACAACATTTATTCTGCTTTCTTATGGTAGACGCGGGCGGGATGGAACAACAGGCACCGATAACAAAGTCTCTGTATAGACTATGCGTCGAGAATCCACGCTTCTTTGTTCAACCTATTTTCTGGACCTCAAAGCACCTTCAAGTATTGCACTGCCATTTCGAGCACCTTGACTCCTCCAGTGCCCCTCCGCCATTCCCGCTGCCGCCTGCTCCTCCGTCCGCCAGCCACGGTGGACCAGACCTCACACAGGATCTCATCCACTCGATTTTGAATGTCCAATATGCCCACACTAAGTTCGCCTCCTTCGCGCAGCTGATGCATCCTTATGGCGTGATCTCCTGCCTACGTCGAACTCCCTTCTTCTATAACGGACTCTGGCTTCATATGCCCACATGCAAGGTTTTCGAATCGGACGACGTACACAAATTTGAGCAGAAGCCCGTTATTGGGTGCTTTCATTACGATGTACTTATCAAGCAGCGAGAACAAGCCCGAGTGCCCAAAAGTCATCCCGTTCCTGGCGCCTCCAATCTTCCCGTTGAGAGACTCTACCAGCGCAAATTGCGAAAGCTGACTCCGGCGCTGTGATTTGAAGACCCATACTTGGTCTGCGTTCTACTCTCGCTGGCTCAACTGCAATGGAAGAGGCGGAAAAGCATGACAGAAGCCTATTTTGTACGCCAGACCCCAGTTCCCTGTTACTCTTCCTACTGACAAGTATCTTTCAGACCCGATTATTCGCAACAAAAGCCTCTGACAAGACGCACGCGCACGTCTTCCGAGCCGACATCCCCTCGAAAATCCTCCACGCTCTCGACAACCCGACCGAAGACATGGACAATCTTGTCTGGCCAGCGATCCAGCACATCCAGGTCCCCTTCGAACCGCATGCGACCTTCTCAGAGCGAGTCGCAGGACAATTGCTCGCTGGTCTTAAGACACGGGCGCCGGAGGAGACACCACGAGGAGAGAAGGAAGGGCGATAACATGGAACCCGAGGAGGAGACAGATAGTGCCAAGGCCTGGAATGCTGCTATATGCCGCTGGATCATGGGTGATAGATAATGGCTCATGGAGCGGTGAATTCAGCGTGATTGACCTTGGTATTCTAACTAGGTTCTCTCGGCTGGTTCAAGCTTTCAGCCTAGGTTCTCTCGGCTGGATTAAGCTCTCAGCCGTATGTCTCAGCGGCAAATAACACTTCAAGCTCACAACTTAGACATTATACTAAGATGTCTGACTAATTGCTACAGCATAAGGCTAATAAGAGGAAAACCTAGATGGTGACTCTTTGGTTGGTATTCTAACACAGCTGTCTGGACAACTGGGCAACTGCCAATACACCCGCCGGTGCTACCTACGAACCATTCGAATTCCGACAGACACACAGTCAGGCATTACGAATGCGACAGAGCGACGAAACATATTCTGTATAGAGTATCTGTGAGTCCGTCATCGCAGAGGTCAAATACGTGCCCAAACTGACCGATCTGCAGACATGAGTAATGCATCCGTTTATATCACCACTCAGTCTGCATTGCTACACATTCTCCCCCACGCCCATAGCTCCGCCATCTCATGCAATGCGCGTCATTGTGGCCTTTTGATAATGGCTCGGAGCGAAGCGACGATATGTGTAGTAGTACTTTTGATAGGAAATAGTAATTTGCATGCATATCATGTTATGCCAAAATTGACCGAGTTAATGTTTAGTGAAGTAAAATAGTAGTGAGTGCATCAGCTCCAAGTCACCAACAGGATACATATCCGCCTTGGAGCTCTGCCATAGACAAAGCTTGGGAGGCAATTCACTCAGTTCATTTGCATGATTCCCCTGGGCAAGGGGCCATTGTAACACTGCGAAGCTCAGTTAGTCGTTCCGGTGAGGTGTTTGACTTTCTGCTGTATTTGAACCGTGTTAGACAGTTTGCGATGGGTGAGAAAGCTCGAGCCTTTGATCCGTAGTTTGTTTTATTTCCTCAAGAGAACAAGTGTTTGAGTCCTTTTCGGCAGCTAATTATATACGTGACGACCCACGAACTTTGTAAATGGCATGGTTCATGACTGTCACTCATCTGTGTCAGTCTTTACGATAATGCTTTAGCATGCAACATAAAGTTCATATCTTCTCATACGTAATGTAGATGCTTTTCTTGTGACGCAAAAACCCAATCGCGTCGTCTTGATTCCAGCTGGAGTATATTATAGTAAGCCCATACTTAGCATAGGCTGCCAGGTCCTGCTGCTATCGATAGGTTTAGACCATGTTTCATGTTTCATACATACGGTTCATGATCCCACTGCTCCATCTCCATTGTATAGCATATCCATATATCATCCTCGAGTGTTTGTGCCTTAAGCCACATATCTCGAAGGCTTACGCCCTCCCACCGCGCAGCATAGAACCACGCATTCAGGGAATAGACGGATACCTTAACTCGGCCTTGGTACTTTTCGCCGCTACTAGAGACTGTCTCAGTTCACTGCGTTTTCTCTGGCAATGGATACTGAAGTAGGTTGCTTCTCTCATGTCCCTATCTAAGGAAGGCATCGGGCCTTTGTTGACCATATCCAAGAGTGAATCCCACCTAAGATCATATGGCTCTTTGACTTCTTTGGCTTTGTAGTAGACAAATCCCCAGGGCTGCTGAGCCCGAAGAATCTCTTCTATCCAAGCTGGTGGCGCATGAGACGCTCGCTTCCATATGGCACGAACCGTTTCCCCAAAGTCCTCAAGGGGCTGTGCTTTTTCCTCATCCGAATGTCGATCAAGCTCTGAGAGCACCCATTTCGCATTCCTTCGTGCCACCTTGATCACGTCACGGCGTATATTCTCTCTAGCTCGTGCCGCAGGAGTTTGAAGTTCTTCCTCCCGAAGACGGCTCTCATAAATGTCTTGTAGTGAGCAGCTATTGGTTCCGTCGATATAGTACAAGTCACAGTAGACTAGCCTCCACGCATCGATTGGCATAGTGATGTAATATTTCTGGTCAAAGTTCGCGATTTTGTCGAATAAACCCTCTCCGCTGTACTGTGCACCTACGATGCGCTGTATCATTTTGGCCTCATCAGGATAAAAAGAAGTTCTGCCAAGCAACGCGTTTTGTAAGAGGACACTGTTATGGAACTCGGAGGGGTTGCTCAGCGCCATACCAACAAGATCCCTGCCTGCTAACTTTTCTTGCAGCCTTTGATTCAGTTTTTCGCGCTCAACAATACTCGCGACCCTGAAACGTTCAGATCGAGGAAGATGGAGCAAACGTTCATGACGCTCAACAGGACCGAGGTCGAGCAGGCTTTTATACAGGTCCAAGTTAGTGTCTATAAATATGGCAGACAGTGGTTGTGTTTCTTTGGGCGTGATAAGGTAGTAACAGGTGAGGGGATTAATAACAGAATTTTAGCGGTTGGATTTGCCCCACTATCTGGATCCGTCGGCCTTGCAAGCCTGGCTAACCTTAGATAATGCTTATCGAACCCCATCCTTATGCAGGGTAATTTCCCCGCACATTATTAACTATGCGACTTGTTAACACCAAAACCATCCAGCTCGAGTTCCTCACTGACAATAATATGCCTGAATACGCCATCCTCTCCTATACTTGGGAATAAGAAGAGGTTCTCTTTTACGATATGGGACGTGAGAGCGCCAAATCGAAAAAGGGCTATGTTAAGCTTGAGAGCTGCTGTTGCATAGCGCGAGAGAATGGCTTTAAGTATATCTAGGACGATACCTGCTGTATCGATAAGACGAGTAGCGCAGAACTAAGTAAAGCAATTAATTTTATATATCGTTATTATTAAGAGGCTAGTATTTATTATATATACCTTGCAGATATTTCTACTGTTTCTGAAATCCTGAATAGTAGATGGTTTACTAGAGGTTAGATGCTATAGGAGCTTATTGCGTTAAGATTAATGATCTTCTTCGATAAAGATTGGCATAAGTTAGGCATTAAGAGAAGCTTGGTATAGGTACTATTGCAGAGAATAAGCATACTAGAATCTATTCTCTGTGATAGTAAAGAGCTAGAGACGACTAGTATCGCGCAGAGAATGTCATGGGCTGCTGATAGAGTCACCACAAGAAAAGAAGATAGGGTATATTCCCTAATAGGTATCTTTAGCATTAATATGCCCCTCCTTTACGGAGAAGGTAATAAGGCCTTCTATTATCTTTAAGAAGAGATTATGCGCGTATTAGACGATTACAGTCTCTTTGCCTGGAAAACCACTAGTGCCTGGGGCGGTTTACTTGCCCTGATACCAGCTGCATTTAAGCATTTAGGTGATATTATCTTATGGAATCCGTTTATACCATATAATAGTCTATTTACAATCACTAATAAAGGGATACATATACAGGTGCCGTTTATTGCGCAGGATACTTCGGGTAGGGGCCTTTATGTGCTGCATTATACGAGAATTAGGATAAGGGATAAGTTGATTGCAGTGTATTTAAGGGATATATTTTTGATGATAGAGCATTTTGAGAGATGCAGGACTGATGAGTTGGAGTGGATTGACTTAAATAACTTCAATCTCACTTAATACCTCGTGAAGTCTCTATATATACGGCTCTACCTCCTATCAATCTCCCGAATGGCACGATAAAAGGGAGGGCAGGCTGATATACTATCCGAATCTCGTATAGTTATTAAGCGTAATACCCTATTATTACTTACAGAAGCCGCGTTAGCAGGCAATGCTGGGTCAGTCTGGTACCTCCTAGCTCAAGATCTATCCGGGATGATGCATGATAAGGCCCGGTCTACGATATATCTTGCTGCTTGTGCTGGCTATAAGCGCCTTGTCAGCTAGCTTTTGGCAAGAAGAGATACAGCATATCTTATTATAGACGACCAAGCCTGAACTGCACTGTTGTATGCTGTAGAGTGCGGCCAGGAAGCTATTGTTAGATTTATCCTATCTAGCGCTATAATCTATCCTAATATAAGGGATATATATGGATTAAGTGCGTTGTAGTATGCGGTGTATTATAAACAATCTGCTTATGTAAAACTGCTTCTTTAGAAAGGTTTAGTATCTGGCTATATCGGCAGCGACGGCAATAATTAAACTGCACTTTAGCATGCTGTCTTATATAGCGATCTCGACTTTGTGAAACTCTTCCTGCAGAATAAAGCACTCTAATCTACTGGCGGCAAACTAGCCTTTTGCGCAGCAGTCTTAAAGCAACACCTCGCTATAACCAAACTCCTCCTCTAGTACGGTGCTAAGCCTAATGAATAAGATTCTTAGTGCCGATCCTTACTGCAAATTGCATGCAGATAGGATAACTATAAGATAGTAGCCCTGCTGATAAGATATAGCGTTAATGCTGATGTGCTAGATATTGCAGGCAAGATAGAACTGGCGTTTGTGATGTTAAGGGGTAATGTGGCGCTGGTTAAGGTGTTATTAGAGAATGGGGCAAATCTAAGGGCTAAGTGTGCAAATGGCAAGATGGCGGCGGCTTATATAATGGGGCAGGAGATAAAGAGCTTAATTGGGAATTAGAGGTAGTATAAGACTTTGCTTAATAGGATGAATATAAATTGGTTGGCGATATTGTGATGGTGGTGTATTTATGCGTTTAGATGGAAGTAGAGGGTTCTTTAGGATATGTAAAATTATACCTAAATTGAGTTGTTATTAGCTTAATTAAGATAAAAAGGATAATATATTTGACCTATAGTAATAAAAGAGAAATTATATCTTAACCCCTTAAGGTTATAAATAGCTTCTGAGTGACTTTATGATTTGGTAGATATAGCCTTGACTTTGGTGATGGAATGGGTCCTGAGAGATATATAAGAAGAGGATGAGCGTGATTGGCCTTGTGTATATATACTCCGAGAAGTAAGTGTAGAAGGAGATTAAGTAGACTGGATAAATGTAGAGTAGAATGTGCTAAGTATTGTTAATACTTATTAGGATATGGGATGGGTATTATAGGGCTTGTAATAATGACTAGCTTATGTAGGATAATAGTGGGAAATATAGACTTTTTAGGATGTTATATCCTCTATATGCTTAAAAGAAATATTGCATAAGCATCTATATACCCTGCTTAGTTAAGGCCGCTTGCGTGCTGACTTGACTTAGGGTTTTAAGAGATTGTGACCCCTTTAGTCTAAATCTTCCTTCTTATTTGATTGGTGCAGAGCTTAGGTGTTGCATCTCTGCTTATTTTAATACGGTCTGCTCTATATAATTTTGACGTTTTGACTTGTATTTGTGGCAAACTGTTAAAACCTTTTGATAAGTACGGTCTGTTAATATTAAAGGGCGGATGGCGCTTTAAGAGTGTATATTAAGGCAGGCTAAGTTACTGATCTTATTGCTTGATCTTGTAGTTAAGTATATTGCTTTAAGTTGCTTCTTTTATGTCCCCTGCCTTGCTGATGTCCCTAGACCTATTACTACCTGAAGTTATGGACTTTCTCTTGGTCTGAGCTGTGTCATTAAGTGACGATAAGTTCTGTGTGTATTGCGTACCTTATCTTGGCGCGATTGACTGGGCTAACTCCCCCCTGCGGTTCTGCATCCTCCCCTAGCCGCCGAGATATCCTTAGACGCGTTGCATGAAGCGATTGCCGAGAGAAGGTGCTTTACTTATTAAGTTCCACCGCCATGATGTGCAAGCTGGCGGGTGAGACTATTTGCAGAGGGGAGCGTTTGGGATTGAGGTGTTGGTCAGGAAACTTGAATCAAGAAGGCGGTCCTCTAGATTGACGGGCGGCGCGAAAGAGTTGGCTGCATATGGAGCTTAAAGTTTCTTATATATATATACTGGGAGTGTTGCTGCGAAAGTCTGAAATAGTAGAGATGCAGCACTGAAGGAAGGATGAAAGCGTTGTTGTTATTGTGGGGGGGAACGAAATGCGTTACTATGTTATTAGATCTGGGATGTAAGCTCTGCTATGCGAGGCCCTCGACCTAAGTCTTTTGATACTTTGCCACTGTCTACTTTAGCATAATGCATAAGTTTAGCCTTGGTGTTAGTGGAAACTAGTGTATTGCAGTATATAAACGGCCGATTATGGTCGGTGCTGTGTGCTGTGGTGCTAGTGCATTTAAGAGGTTATAATTACGAAATAACACTTTATAATTTCACTAAAGAATTTTGTCTGGCTTTAATACTGATTTATATAGCACTACAGGAAGCTACAGGAAACTATATGTGATTAAGAGACTGTATAAAGGACTTTCTATCTTGCTAACCCTTTTTGTTCTGCCCTGGTAACCCTTCTATGCTATCGGAAAAATAACTTTAGTGCCTGTAAAGTCCCTGTCTCTCTGGTGGAGATGTCCCTTGTTGACTTATGGCTATGAATTCGTGATCATTCCGGGGGCCTGGGAAAATGTTAATAGTCAGGTTATTAACATGCAGCGAATTAGTTAATAACTTACGGTAGTTAGGAGAATTTCTGGCTTTAATTTGAGGCTTTGTGTGCCTCTGCCTTGGCGGCCTTAAGCTGTTGCTTAAGCTTATTATTTAGCTCTAGCTGTCTGGTAAGCTCCTCTTCTGCTGAGTGCTAGAAGTTAAAGTACTTCTAGGCCTGCTTTTTGGCTAAGGCGAGCTTTTTCTTTATCTCCTTATTTTTAATGGCGAGGTGGCCATTGTTTTCTATAAGGTTGTCGTTCTGGTTATTTAGATACTTGTTCTCGTCAGATATGATCGCTATCTTCTTGCGGAGGGCGTTAAGCTTAAGGCGATTAACTGGCAGGTCTACGGATATGATTGCGGTGCTGAAGGTTTGACTTAGTTGTAAAAGGGGAATAGAGTTGGATTGTGTTTTGCGGATAATACGACGGGTAGAGGATTTGAGTGTGAATGATGGAAGAAGAGAAAATGTGGAAAGTTAGCTAAGGGCTGTGGGGTCTGAGTATTTGGGCATTCTTGCTGACACTGCCAGGGCCAGATTGGATTGCTTAGCCAGCTTTGATACTGTTAGGACCTGGCAGCTTTAGCAGGCCCCTTCCCTAAACTTAAGTACTGAAGCCACCGAGACTACCCAGGCAGTACTCTTTACAGAGGTTCTAGTGTGCTCGGAAGAGGATGTAACCGAAGCCGATGCACTCTCCGGCGAAGTCTTGGGCCCCTAAATATATGCATTAGTCGGAGATAGCTGCGCCACTCTGGCAAAGCACCAAAGGTCTCAACTCACAAGCCCAATTTTCACTACATTTTGTTTAGCCAGTGCTTTGCGATGTACTTGAGAACCGCTTGTTGTTGTCCGCTAGAGGTGGAATATGATGATATCGAGAACGAACAAGCCAGCCCTCTTATCGTTGAGAAGCTGCAGAACAAACTCCCAGATGGTGAATAAAGCTTCAGTATGTTCACTAGAACCTCTACGTCGGCCATCTATCTTCTCTTTCCTTTGTAAAACTGCGAATATGACTGACCTCTAATGATTAAGCAGTATCCCCTATGCAAATGCATCTAAACCTCGGAGCGATATCATAATACCATAAAGATGTCATTCTATTTCCAGATGTCTCTCCCTTCCGCTCTTCCTCCCCCCTAATCGCCCTCTTAACGCGAAGGTCCCAAGTACCAATACCAATACCTTAGCAGTCTACAGCGAAACGGCGAGAAGTCCTCAGAGGATCATTTAGTACCTGGTTTGCGAGCAGCGCCTCCTGTCAACAAGTCTACGCCATGTCCTTGAGGTGCTGGACCCTCATTTTTGCTCCATTTGCATTACGGTACCTTCTGGATCGAGTCGCTGCGCAAAGGTTCCCACAAAGCCTTCTGTTCTGTAACAGATTCGGCCTCTTATCTCCCAGCGACTAAGCTGCATGCTTCTCAGCATATCATCTGGGGGTCCAACTGCCTGAAGTGACTGTGTGTGCCGGTTTATGAAGTAGGCGTTGGCCGTGAGGGTATTATGAAAAGAGATGTCTTTGTTACTCTAATTTTGCCGCTCTTTGACTACCTTCTCTTCGATCTTGTCTCTCCGCCTGCTCAATTGTTCTTGACAATGAAAAGAGAATGCTGACCTGTCTGTCTTTGGTTGGTTCCGGGCTTGTCCGCAGTTCGGAGCCATTTGTGGCAAAACTTAGCTTCACACCATGTTCATGATCTGCACTAACCAAGATCGTTTTTGCATGCCATCGTGATCGCCGTTCCTGAAGCTAAACCGTTTTACAAACCGGACTACATATAGTGCATAAAGCTTATAATGACTACATTCAAGTGAGTCTTCGGGGACCTTAAGGGCTCCCAGAAAGAAAATGTGCATGGCATTGAGAACATGCCGGTTTACCATTTGATCCGGCTTGACGCTGCGCGCAGTTACCCGTCTGAGATTGGCAGACGCAGGGCTCGTGACCGAGTCAGGATTTCGCGTCTGGAGACTGTCTCGGTCGATCTGCACGAAGGCGCAAGTGACGATCAACCAATAGAGTTACTGAGAGGTATTCAAGTAAGGGCGTCGTGGAGTCGCCATTGGGTATTGGTCTTTGAGTAAATTACCAGGCACCTGATTGCGTCGCGAAGACTGACATCATAACTCATGAAATCAGTGGTTACTCTTGAATATTTCACGTCGGTGAATTGAAACTTGAATAAAAGCTATAAGATTCAACGAGTGATGATCCTTACAAACCCGCTTCTTCATCAATGGAGCTTATGCCGCTACCGCCGTCCGGACCTCGCCCTTGGAGCCCCTCACAAAATAAACAGAAAAGCCCGGATCGACCTTCACCCAACCTCCCTCCTTGGGCATGCCCAGCCAAACACCGCCTTGACATTTTTTTTGGAATGCACGATCACAGTTGGTCCAATGGATGATTTGACCGGTACCCTTGATTTCATCAGTGCTCCCTTCTATCGCGGCTGCGTCAAAGGCTTCCTGGTGAAATGGTTGAACCTCCTGTCAATCACAATTAGCTTCACTCCGAACCCACGGTCATGGAAAAGCTTTTACCATGGCTGCTCGACGATGTCCTTTGGTGAAAGTGGTCAAGAGTAGCAACTAGACTAGTAGAGTGCATACGAGTTTTCAAGGTTACAGCTTTGCACGCGAAGCGCGTTGGCAGATCACGTGATTGATAGCGATATGGCTCATAGTTCGATTAAGTACAGGGTATTTTTCCGTTGAACCGGAGCATGACGAATTTACAATCATCGATCAGCAATAAATTTAGGCTACATCAGTAGACAGAATCAAGGACCCGTGTTTGCTTGCGCATTCGCTTCAGCTACTCCGGTCTTTCTATTACGACTGTACGAACGGAATCCAACAACCCAGATATGAAAATTATCCACATTGCTCTCAGTATTTTCTAGCTGAGTTCGATTCCATTTTTTTTTATTTTCAAAAAAAAAAAAAAAAAAAAAAAAAATGTCTCATAGAGATAACTTCACACAGTCATGATATTATCCTTCTAGGGCTCTAAACCGTTATATCGGGCTAGAATCTGCAAGTCCTTAGCTATACCCAGCTCACTGCTCAAGTAATAGCTTAAGCATGATCAAGATCCGGTTCTCCCGAGCTCGAAGCTAAACATACGGCTCATGATCCCATTCCTCTAGGTTCTTGATATAACAGATCCATAACTTTTCCGGGTGTTTCTGCGCCTTGAGCCACATATCCCGAAGACTCACTCCCTCCCACCGAGCAGCGTAGAACCACGAGCTGATTGACCATTTTGCCACCTTGACGCGTCCCTGGTACGTCTCCCCATCGACGACAGTTTCTTCACCTGAGCCATCCCAGTCGGCATCATATGCCCAAACCCAGTGAGGATCAAGATTCTCGCTCGTCGTAAAATCGTCATCCTCAGACGGTTTGGGGATCAGTTCAATAGGAATCACGATGAAGGTATTTCGTAGAATCCCAGGCGACAGGAGATGGTCTTTCTCCCGTACATATTGTTTAAAGTGTCTGCAACATAATTAGTATATTTATTCGAGGGGACTTAGCTGCTCAACTCACGTTCTCAAGTCGTCGTCTTCAGGTAATTCTGGCGAAGGTTGAAACGCAGGCCAATCCTCAGTCAGGAGCGGCTCCAACACCTTTCGGTTTTCTTCACCTTGGCAATGGATGGTCATCCAAGTTGCATCTGCCATATCTCTACCACCATAAGTGTTCGTCCAGGTTAATTGAATGTCGCTCCAAAGTGGTCCCCAGTTAGAGCCATGTTTCTGGTTAACCTGTCTGGATAAATAGTGGACAAATCCCCATTTTCGACGAGTTTCGAGGATGTGCCGCATCCAAGCTGGTGGCGCAGGAGACACCTGTTTCCAGAGTCTTGCCAGAGTCTGCTTATATTCATGCTGTTTCGAAAGCGGACCCATAGCTTCTTCGTGTTTTCCCTGTCTCATGAGTTCTTGCACGGATGTAACGTCCTGCAGTGTCCATTGGCACTGATCCTCAGCCGGAAGGCCTTTGATGGCCGGAATCATCCATTTGGAGTTTCTCCGAGCTTTCTTGAGTGAATTATTCCGTACAAGGTCTCTGGCTCGGGCGGCAGGAGTTTGTAGCTCCTCTTCTCGAAGACGTGCTTCGTAGATCTCCTGTAGTGTAGCACTGCCCCCATCGACAAAGTATAAGTCGCAGTAGACTAACTTCCAGGCATCCAGGGGGAGAGGCCGAGCACCTTGATCGAAATCCGCAACATAATCGATGAAGCTCTGACTGGTTCTTGCAACATCGTTGGTGACGCGTTTGACCATCATATTCTCGTCAGAGGGGTAAATGCTTCGGCCAAGGAGGGTATATTCCAATCGCATATTTGATATGATCTCTGACGGGTTATTTAAGGCGACCTGAACGAGATCCCGCCCTGCGATGAGCTCTTCCAGGCTCTGCAGCTTTTTCTCCCTGTCCACAATCATCCAAACCCTCGCCCGTTCCGCCTGTGAAAGATGCCGCAAGCGATCTTTTCGCTCCGATAGCGGCAGGTCTAAGGCACTCCTATAGAGCTCCAAGTTTGGGTCCATCGTGAGGTCGGTGACTTAAGTCGTGCTGGTGACGATGAGGCTTGGTTATGGAGGGAGGGGACTAAAAATTGTGAGGGAATTACGCGAGTACGCTTTTTCCTTTTATTAGGTAGCGAACAGCTAAACTCCACTGTAGATGTGGGCCAATCAATGCATAAAAAAAGGTCAATGACTCTATTGATTGAATTTTCATCGCTCTCTCCACTTTTGCAATGTTATGGTCTATATACTTGCTTAACAAATTCTAAGCATCGGGTGTTGTCAGAAAGATGCTGGGGTCGAAGGATGCAACAAAACTAGAGTATTGCTGCGAGTGCTTCCGGGCATCCGTGAGGTATTTTAATGCTGCGTTGGCGGCCACTGCCGCGCCCGGAGCGCTTGGATGACCCGCCGCTGTGTATGCTCGCGCCACCGCCTCCCTTCGTGCGTGCTCAGCCGTCCAGTCGGCCACCATTATGTTTATTCGATACTCAAGCCATTCTTCAGCCCAATCCTTCATCTTGGTAAGCAATTCGGTCATGAAGTTACGCCACATGTCGGAAAGACCCATATGAACGGCCGTGGGATGTTGTTTTCGATACAGCTCCTCGTACTCGTCCAGAAAAGCAATCACATCTTGGTGGGCACCGAGGAGCTTATCTTGTATACCTGGCTTTGCGAGATAAGGAAAGACTTGTTCAACCTGGTGAGATCATTAGTATGAAATCTGTCGAGCTTTGCCATAGACGGGGAACTCTTCATACCAGTATTAACTGCTCAAAAGCGTGTAAGACTGTCACGTCGTCCACGGCAGCATATAGATCATTCCAGGTCGGCGCCCCGACAGGCTCTTTAAATTCCCAAAGCTAGTGATGATTAGAGAGATCAAGATAGGCAGCGGCCAGGTAGAAGAGCGGAAAGGGAAACATACCAGGCCTTTCTTCCCGTTGAACTTGGATTCGGTATTTACCATATGCTCACTGTTCTGGGTTGAGCCGAGCAATGTGAATAAAGCGGCCGTTGGGGTAGTCGTCCCATATTTCTTGTTCCACTCGGCGAAACCATACTGGAAATCATTGACCCAAAAGGAGCAAGGAAGAAGCCTCGAAGAATCTGGGTTGAATGGGGCATTGATTGGAAGACGAGAACGGCTGAGTTTGGTTTGCAGTCTCTTTTGGACGCCCATCGTGTATTCCATAAACATGGGGACTGACTGAAGTTCCAAAATGTGCTCAGCTGTTTGGAGTCAGTAAAAAAAAAGATGCGGGGGTCGGGCTGTTGTTACTCACATATATATTTGTTCCCATCCTTATTATGGCCGTTGTCCATCACGATAGCAGAAACACAGCTACCCAGATTGTCGACGTAATACTTCTTCTCGTCGCCGTTTTTCTCTGCCAAGTGATCTCCATTATCTCCACTAGGATACGGCATGGATTTTATGACCCATTTGGGGTTCCCACCTCGACATTCAACTGTGAAAGGACGCGGAGAACCATATGTTTTCGCCCTCTTTTCAAGTGCGTCGTCTTTCACCCATTCTGTTGACCATTTCATCTCGTTGAACGGGAACTTCAAGTCACCAGGACCGCCAATAGGGCCAATAGGACCAGATACCTCCGTGGCAATTGACTTGCCGCGAGGATCTTCCAATGATCCTGGATCGTAAGTGTTGAGTGACGGTATGTGACAGAACCTGTTGCTCGATGGGAGGTTTGCAACCCGTTTCGCTTCTTTCTCTTCTGCATCAATATTGCAGATGAAGTTCCAGGCTGCTATCAGTGTCGTCTTGACATCGTCTCTGATCTCCCATAACATTCCCGCGATATAGGCCACAGTGATATGTGCCCACTTCGGGGTGATATACGTTTTGACCAGGTCCTGGAGATCCCTGGTGTTGCGAGAGCTTGGTGGAGATGTCATAATCCTTTGGAATGCCAATACAATGGTAATTCCAAAAGGCACAGCCACAAGAGCATCATCACGCTCGACCAGTTCAGACAATTGCTCACCAACATCAAAAGCTGGGTTACCCAGAGAGCGCGATGAGAACTTCTCCCCGGCGAGAGGACCCAAGTTGGGACATGTCGGTTCTTTAGCCCATTTCTTGAACGACACCTCAAGATCATCATCTTTGATATCAGTGAAATCGTAAGAGGCTGTGATGTCGCAACAGTAGGCCGAAGTACCCTTATTGCAGTTGTTATTCTCGGATTGCAGAGTCACCTTAACCATGTCTTTAGGACAATTACTGTTGCATGTACCCGTCGTGACAGTATCCTTGCGGCTCATATAGTAGTCGTCCGACCATATGCAATTAGTGAAGTGCGGCTTGGTCTCGTCTCTTGTGTTTTCGCAAAGTGGCCTTTGTCCCCTCTCCCCGTTGCCTTTAAAGCACTTTTGGCCTCCACTACCACTATAGCTCGAAACGAATTGTGTATCGAACGTGTTGCTCCATCCGCACTGCTTTTTGCCCTGGTCGACAGCGCACTCAGACTCCTTGCCGTACCATTTGTACTGACGATAGACATCTAGAGCTGGGGTGTCGCCTCTACAACAGGCAACCTGGGCTTTGCCATGATCGCATGAAAGCTTAGTTGACGCCACCTCAACCATATCATCGTATGGACAACCAGGTGTGCAGGCTCCATTGTTGTGGAAAAGCCACTGACAAAAGGGCTGTTCTTTAGGGGGGCAGCAGAATGTCCGTATCCCATTGCCGTTGCAGGCAGTTCCGTCCATCATGATCTCCTTAGAGCTGGTTCGGTAGGGATCTTGCCTTGGGACTGTTTTCCATTTGCTCGGACATGTCTCTCCGCAGTTAGTCCATCGACATTGCTCGTCGCTGACATCGGCATTGGCTTCACTCTCTGAGGTCTCAATAAAAACACCACCTCCAAGAGACTTGGTGCTGTTGAATGTCGTGACGCCCTTGGACTTGTAACCCGTAGCCTCCTGCAGTTGCTTGGAGAATTTCCCGTCGGAAGTGTCTTGGCTGATGGCCCAGACCATGGCTCCCCCAAGACACTGGCTGCGAGCAAAGTCCAGTTTGAGCTTCCAAGTATCGACATCATCGTAAGTCAACCACGTAGTACCAAACTTGAGAGTCTTGATAGCGGCAGCCTTGTCCAGATCGCCTGACCCAATCTTGCCCCCCAGCTTGCGCATGATCTCAGGGTTGGACATGACACCGACTGCGTCAGTGCAAGGCTCCGCAGGGCCACCTGCATCAAAGAGACAACCTGGAGACATGCAGCTGCTACTGGATGCGGTGAACGTGCGTGCATAGAATGCGAGTCCCATGTTGACTTGATCGGGGTCGACGTCGTTGCGCCAGAGCAGATCGAAGGCCTCCTTGATCTCAGTCAAGTTGGTATGAGAGTTGAGATGGTTGCCAAGCCATGATTTGGGAGTATCCCAAGCACCGTGGAAGTCATAGGACATGACGTTGAAGTGGTCGACATACTTGGAAATCTTCTCAAGGTCAAAGTGCTGAAGATACCAGTAGGAAGCAGGGATTGCGATGCTGAGGCCGTTACGCTCTCCACTCTGCTTGAGGGCGCTCTTGATATTGCTCAGGAACTTGGGAAGATTAACAAAGTCTTCCTCTCGTCCTTCGCGATCATCGGCAGCCGGGTATTCCCAGTCAATGTCGACACCATCAAAGCCATAAGTAGCCATGAACGAGATGAGCGACTTGATGAAGGTTCTCTGGTTTGCATCAGAACGTGCAATGTCAGAGAAGGTTGTAACGGTCGGGCCCGGGTCATTGAAGGCCCAACCGCCAATGGCGATAAAGACCTTCAACTTGGGGTCGATCTTCTTCTTGCGTGTCAATTCGCGGTATAAAGCTGGATCTTTGCTGGATGCTGGTACGATCTGGAAGGTCTTTGGGTCGATACTGGCGAAGGCAAAGTTGATATGAGTGTAGACGCCGTCGGGGATATTAGAGGGCCTGAAACTGTCGCAGGACCTTGTGGAAGCCCACCCTTCGATGTATCCGACTACTCTTCGCATGGGGCCCTTTGCAGAGCATGATGGACGATTGACGGTCTTCTTTCCGCAGAAATCCTTGGTAGTACCGCAGTAACTAGTGATGTCAGCTTCGAAGCAACTGCAAGCTGCCTGTATCAACTTACCCATGCTTCGAACAGCAGACGTTGAGTGGACACTTGGTATGGTTGGCAAACTTTGAGCCAAAACCGCCCGGATCACACTCACCCTTGGCGTCACAGCCAGCCACACAATCCTTTCCACAAACTCGCCAAGGTTAACAATACGATACAGGCATCAAAATAGTTGCACTTACAGTCTGGACCTAGTCCACAATGGCCATACTTGGAACAGCATGCATTGCCTTTGCACGGGTTGCTCTTGTCGCACTCGAGCTTGAAGTCGCAAGTGCTCAGACAGCCTTTACCGCTATGGTCCTTCGTAGTACCGCAGTAGCCTGCACTACTACAGCAACCAGTTGCGCAGAGTTTCGTCTTGCTGCATTCTGCTGCAGATACAGCGGCCGAGAGGAGTAGAGTAGTGAAAAAGAACAGTATCAAAAGCCGGTAAGGACGTTTCGTCAACGTCATGATGGCGAGAATATGGACCAGTTTGGTCGGGTAACAGATGAACGTAGATTGAAGCAACAATGAGTGTATTTGGCAAATCAAAAGACCAGTAGCACGATCTGGGTATGTAATCTGTTGAGCGACTTGAAGTTCAAAAGACAGAAGCTTCCATGTCACATGCAGTTCGGTCCATCGGAGTTTGTTGGTATTTCGGAGATTTCCCTTTGAGACGCTCCGCCAACAACGAACCACTTTTTGTCAGATCACTGGCCTCGCTTCACTTCTCGCTTCATTTACAGCTTCATGTCTGACTCGTATTCTAACTTGAACGAGACTGAACGCGGTTAATCCAGCGGTAAGAAGGGTCTTTTTTGCCAAGGCCCAGGCCGTTTATAGACCCTTAATTTTAAAGCAGCAGGCTGTCGGATGACATAATAGGATAAACTTCTCTTCTGATGGTCAACTGTATTGGTTCTGTATGTTATTCAGTCTTGGCAGCCTAATTGGGTTTGGATTCTCAGGGTCCAGGGCCAAAAATCTTTCAGCTCATCCACTTTTGATGCACGTCTTGATCCACCCTTCTCCATATCCTCGCATAGAAACCCTGCAAAGTCCGGCGGGAACCGAGAGTCAAGGGACAATTCTGGAGAACGGAATGTATCCGAGGTGATAATTTCGCAACTGAATCGTCCACTTGGACCTTTTGCAAAAGTCGCTCGGTGGCCTGCTCGGGCTGCTCGCAAAGGGAAATCTCCGTGCGGTATTGCTCAAGCTCCGTCTCCCTGACATTTCACTCTAGAGATAGTTTAAGGCAACCTCCTTTAATCTTGGTCCTCATTCACACTTCAAGGCCCTTCTTTACATGAGAATATAGCCAAAATCTGCCATTCGTTCTTCAAGACTATCTCACGATGTGGTTACGATTCTTCTTGTTGTTGCTTTACATGCCCTTTTCGGTCCTATCCGTGGGCCATCATCACTCTCATTTGCATTCTCACCATAAACGCGCCTCCAACAGCTCATCTCACGACACCTCGAGCCTAGATGCTGCACGTAAGCTCTTGGCCGCTGGCCAAGCTGCCATGGCCCATGCCAACCGCGCCATCATTGCCAATCCTCGCCCAAACCGTCTGGAAGTACTCAACTCTACAGAGCTTAGAAAGACTGAGAAGGCACCTCCACCGCTTGATTATCGCAACGGTACTGTAAAGTCACTCAATGCAAGAGATTCAGGAAATGGAACATCTAAAGATCTTCGCTATTCTGTTCCTGAGGAGCTCATCAAGGCTGCCCGCCTTCTTTCAGAGAACTGGAAGCCATCCTCCACCGACCTCGATGGTGGCTACGCAGCCGACGTTCAGCACTTGAAGGACACCTTCTTGTACAAGAACAATGACACCAATATGATGCCTCCTATGCTTCAGTACGACTCAGGATTGATCAAGCCTGTCCTCGAGCCGCCGTCTGCATTTCGATACAGTGAAAATGATACTGATGTCCCTGAGCATGTAGTCGACGAGGACAAGAACCTGCATAAGAGGGCCAGCTCGGACTGGTGGATGGCTACTATCTCTCAGAGAGGTTCTAGCCCCTTTGCTCCGTCTGGATATCAAGTCTGGCGCGATGTCAAAGACTTTGGTGCCAAAGGTAAGTGGACCTCAACATAGATTGAGCCTGTGAGCTGCATGTATTTTTCTAACCGTGAGATAGGCGATGGAGTTGCTGACGATACGGATGCTATTAACAAAGCCATCTCTAGTGGTGGTCGATGTGGTGGCGGCAAATGTACAGGAAGCACGATATACCCAGCAACTGTATACTTCCCTCCAGGTACATACAAAGTTAGTTCTTCTATCATTCAGTACTACAACACGGAAATGATTGGCAATGTAAGTTATGTACTTGGCTCATTCGCTACCGACCTATCTCACAAGTACAGCCACTTGACCTTCCGACCATCATCGCGGCACCGAGTTTCGTCGGTCTTGGTGTTATCACTTCCAACGTAAGTGCAAGAGGTGTTTTTATCAATTCATTGAGTTTGACCAAATACACAGGTTTATACAGGAGAGACCTCCGAATGGTAATATTTCCTACAAGCAAGTACGGCACAAGCTAACGTGGATCTCTAGGTACCTGAATCAGAACAACTTTCTTCGGAGTGTCCGCAACTTCATCATTGATGTCCGCCCAACACCTGCCAACGCGCAAGTCTGTGCGATTCACTGGCAAGTTGCGCAAGGTACTTCACTCGAGAACATCCACTTTTACATGACAAAGTTCAAGGATGATCCCAAGACAACGCAGCAGGTACGTGCTTCCACGAAGCTTTGGCAATAGCAATTAGCTGACGGTAACTGCAGGGAATCTATATGGAGAACGGTAGCGGTGGCTTCCTTTCCGACTTATACTTTGTGGGAGGAAAGTTCGGGTGAGTTGATTGAACCAGCCTAAACGACTTGAATCCCTCTTCACTAACATTTGGATTACTAGAGCGTACATGGGCAATCAACAGTTCACGGCCAGTGGTCTTTACTTCGAAGAGGCCGAGACGGCTATTCAGATCCATTGGGATTGGGGATGGACCATGCAGAACATTGTCGTTGACAACTGCAACACTGGTCTCACCATTGTTGGTGGCGCAGGAGGGGTAAGCTCTCTTGACTATAACCTCGCTTACAGATGGATACTAATCATCTAGCCTATGAGTACTGGCCAGGGAATAGGCTCTCTTCACTTGACCGACCTACGCTTCCATTACGTCAAGGTCGCAGTGTCAACCTCTGTCATGTCCGACAACTCCACCGCTTTACTACTCAGTAATTCTGGCTTCTACAACGTCGACACCATTGTTCAAGACACTTTCAAGAGCCAGGTTCTTCTTCGTGGCGGTAAAGGAACAGTCAACGTCGATACTTGGGGTTTCGGCAGGGTCACCAGCGCCAACGGTACGACCGCCTTCCACAATGGCGCCAATCTCGACAGCCCAGTGAGAAACGATTCCCTCGTCACTGGCGGACGAAAGCAGTTCTTCACGCGTCGCCGTCCAAAGTATGATGACCTGGGCTTCAGTCAGATCCTTGATGCGAAGGCGTACGGTGCCAAGGGTGACGGCAAGACAGATGACACAGCTGTTCTGAAACACCTCTTTTCGGCTGCTGCCAACATGTCTGCGATTGTATATGTTCCATTTGGCGTATATATCATCACAGACACTGTTGAAATTCCTGTTGGCTCGCGAGTTATCGGGCAGGCTTGGCCTCAGATCATGGCTACTGGGTCCAAGTTTGCAGACCCCCTTAAGCCTCGCGTTGCAGTTCGTGTTGGCCTTCCGGGCCAAGTTGGTGTTGTGGAGATACAAAACATGATGATGACTGTCAAGGGAGCTACGGCCGGTGCCATCATGATGGAGTGGAATGTACACGAGTCTGGCCAAGGCTCGGCAGGTCTATGGGGCATGTTTCCTTTCTCACGATGGAGTTCTCGATCATCTCGACTAACACTTCTTGATAGATACCCACTTCAGAGTTGGGGGCGCCGCGGGTACAGATCTCACCGTCAAGGACTGTCCCAAGCTGTCTGGTAAAGTCAATCCGAACTGCGTTGCCGCGTCTCTTATGCTTCACTTGACCCCCGACTCTTCCGGTTACTTCGAAAACGTCTGGATGTGGACTGCAGATCACGACTTCGACACTGCCGACCAGACTCAAGTTGACATCTACGTTGGTCGTGGCATGCTCATCGAGAGTAAGGGCCCGACATGGCTCTGGGGTACATCAGTCGAACACTGCGTTCTATACCAATACCAACTATCTGGTGCTCAGAACGTCGTCATGGGTCTTATCCAGACCGAAACTCCCTACTTCCAGTCTTTTCCAGAAGCACCAGCACCTTTTAAACCAGGCGCTTTCCCCAACGATCCTGAGTTCCACAACTGCACCAAGACCTCCAAGTCTTGCGCTATGGCCTGGGCTTTACGCATCATCGACTCGTCGGCAGTCCACGTTCTGAGTGCCGGTCTTTACTCCTTCTTCAACCGTTACGATCAGACGTGTCTCAACTCTGGGAGGCACGACTGCCAGGACAAGATCTTCTACACAGAGCAGAGCTATGATGTTTGGGTTCAGAATCTCGTCACGCTGGGCAGTATCGAGATGGTCAGCCCTCTCAACGGAGTCCCCACCATGGGCAAGCCAAACAGAAACGGGTTTGCTTCTTCGATCCTGGCTTGGCTTGGAGGTTCAAAGAACATCACTGGACAGCGCAACTTCGAGGGCTATAGGATTCACACCGAGAACGCGCTTGACATTGACAGATTCCCCGAAGCCTGCCAGAATGCGCTTACTGCTCTTGTGCGATGCGACAACTATACGGAGGAGTGGACAACACCTTCATACCATGGAATTCTCCCGAGAGATGTTGATATCGAGTCTGTTTGCGACGAGGGCTGTGCACGCTCCATGTCGGACTGGCGATCAGCTGTCGACACCTATTGCGGTAATGCAACATGGCATAATGGTGCGGCTGCCGGTGTCTTGGGATCCTTCATCTCACAGGGTATCAACGAGACATGCCAAACGGACAAGAAGACTGGAAAGTACTGCAACGGTAATTATTCCAAACCCCTCGTTTTTTCTGTCACTGTCCTAACATGTTGCAGATATCATCTACAACTTTACCCTCTCTGAGTCCATCGACAAGATGCCAACCAACGAACTATGTTCCGACTGCTACGTTGGCCGGCTCAAGATGATGCAAGCCAGCCCCTTCTCCTACTACAACAGGGACCTTTTCTATGAGGATGCTCTCAAGAAAGCAGTCAAGCGATGCTCCCTGTCCAACGTACCCACTACCCCTAAAGATTCTCCTTTTCCATCAGAACCTTCTGAGCCAAGATTTTGTCTTTCTGGCGTCACGTACACGACCAAAGCTGGCGACACCTGTGACTCTCTAGCTCTCAAGTATAGCGTCTCTTCCGCAGCCATCTTCATCGGTAACCCAGATATCCTCGACTGCGCCGACATGATGGAGGGCGTGTCTATCTGCATGCCGCTCCAGTGTAAGACATACAAGCTGCAGGAGAATGACACGTGTATGTCGGTTGCCTACTTCACAGGCCTCCAGCAAGATGACATCCGCCTCCTGAATCCCTGGGTCCATGAGCTTTGCGGGAATCTCCAGTCCGCCACAATTGTTCTCGGCAGAGTCATCTGCACTACACCGCCCGGCGGAGAGTATGATCGTGAAGTCAACACCACTAATTCAGACCCGGCATACTCTGAGTACGCTGACAAGGCTGTTCCTCCTCCCAGCGGTGCTACTCTCGCTACCAATACGACCAAAGCATGTGGGCGATGGTATACAGTTGAGAAGGGCGATGACTGTGCTCGAGTGCTTGTGCAGTATCACATCAGTCTGCCTCTCTTCATACAGTCCAATCCTTCCGTTTCGGAAGGCAGCTGTACCACGGATCTAGTTCCAGGGCGAACCTACTGTGTCGGCCCAACCAAGGAAGTTTTGACACAGACGCTCAAGCCCATTCCTCCGCATACACGCTTCGGTTGCTTTGCCCGCGAGGCGGACACGACGAATCGCTCTGTCCTGACTCTAGCCGACGCGCAGCACGTCAAGCCCATGTCCATCGTAGCTTGTCAGTCCTTCTGTCTGCAACGCGGCTGGACCGTCTGGGGAATCCAGAACGGCGACTCGTGTTTCTGCGACAATCAGCTTCGTATGGACAGTCAGATCATTGACGATTCCAAATGCAACATGCACTGTAACGGTAACACCACAAACGTCTGCGGAGGTAAGGATGCTATCGAAGTGTTTGGCGATCAAGATATGTTACGTATTCAGTACGCTAGTCTTGGTTGCTACTCGTGGAGTAAGCAAGCCATACGTGGTACCACAGGTGGCGACACTATAGAGTCTCCCGATGAGATGTCCGTCGATGCGTGCGCAAGTCTGTGCACTGTGACTAAGAAGTCTGACTTCTTCGCTCTCTGGGAGGGCAAGCTCTGCACTTGCGGTAGGGAAATGACACCGGGAGCTAAGACGACTAGTATGGATGAATGCAATGTAGCATGTAGCGGCCAGCTAGGGGACATCTGTGGTGGAAAAGGAGTGGCTGAGGTCTTTACAACCAAGACCAAGAATGTTGTAGCTAGCTAAGAACATCATCGCTTCTTTTTGCAATACTTGACTCATGAGGTCGTCCCTTTTACACCTTATGACATGCTCTGAGTGAGAGTTGGCTATTATGAATGCAATGGAAAATGAGCTCATAGTAGCGAAACATTGTCGTAACTCTTTACATTTTGAACATGAGGTCAGCCCACTGTTATTCTATTGATACAACAGAGGAGCTCTTTGGCCTCAAGCGGGCCAAAGACCTTAACTATGTGATAGAGGAATGGAACTGGCCGTTTCAATGGGACTTGGCCTCGGGCAGACGCGGAATGGCCGCTCTTACGCAAGACCCAACGACATTTCCAGACAGAAGCTTCATAAAGTCGCAAATGTTTGACGTAAACAATATAGCAGGCGGATAATGCTTGTACTGCTCCCGTTACCTCATTGCTCAAGCTGGGCCACTGTTGAGACAAGGTCCTGCCTCATATGCTATTATGCTCATATCAAACATACGGCTCATGATCCCAATTCTCCAGGACCTTTGAATAGCAGATCCATAAATTGTCCTCATCCGTCTGCGCCTTGAGCCACATATCTCGAAGACTTACGCCCCCGTCCTCCCAACGGGCGGCATAAAACCAACCTCCAAGTGCATAGAGAGGTACTTTGATGCGGCCTTGGTATTTCTCACCGTTGCATATGTCTTCGTCCGAAGCGCTATCCCAATCCGCATCATATGCCCAGACCCAACATGGATCCAGATCTTCATCATCGGGATCATTGGGTATTTGCTCAATCGGAACGACGATAAATGTGTTCTGTAAGATCCCAGGAGACGAAAGAGATTTCCTGTGCTCACAGAAATGTCTGGTCAATGATCAGTACGATTTACATTTCAGTTGCTCAACGTCACTTACTTGCGAAAGGCATCTTCTTCGGTCAAACCTCTGTAAGTTGGCGGAACAGCCCAGTCTTCCGTCTGCAACGCTTTAAGCTCATCTACCTTCCCTTGGCAATGGATGCTCGACCAAGATTGCTGAGGCATATCCGTGATCATGATCCACGTGTCCTCCCATGTTTGGCCATACTTCTCTTCGACTTCTTTTGATTTGTAATAGGTGAAACCCCATGGTTGTTGGGCATCCAGGATATGCTGAATCCAGGTTGGTGGCGGGTGGGATACCTGCTTCCAGAGCTCGTGCAAAGTGTCGCTGAAGCTGTCCTCAATATGAGACAATTCCTCATCAGAAAGTCGCCCAAGGGCAGGAATCATCCACTTGGCATTCCTGCGAGCCAGCTTCATAATATCGCGTCGAGCGACTTCCCTGGCTTGTTCACTCCGGGTCTGCAACTCTTCCTCTTGAAGCCGTGACGTGTAAAGTTCAAGCAACGTTGTATTATTTCCATCAATATAGAACAAGTCACAATAGACCAAGATCCAAGCATCCTTAGTTATAGGAGGATAGTAGCCTTCATCAAAGCTTGCGACACTGTTGATCAAAGACTCGCCATTCATCCTCAGACCTTTTGAAATTCGCTTCACCATGCTGTTCTCATCCTCAGGATAGCAAGCCCGTCCGAGCAGCGCATTTTGGAGAGGCGGGTTCTCCTGAATCTCTTTAGGATCGGTAAGAGCTAGTTCAACAAGATCCCGGCCAACGACTAATTCCTTAAGCCGTTGAATCCATTGTTCTCTTTCAACTAGAGTCTTGACTCGGATCAACTCCTCTTTCGAAAGATGCTGCATACTTTGGCGGCGATCCTTGGGCCCAAGATGTAATATACTCCTATAAAGCTCGAGGTTTGGGTCCATTATCGCGGCCACATTAAGTTGTAAGTGGCGAGTTGCAATAATGAGGGATTTCACGCAGCGGGTTTTTTCTCTTCTTCTGTTTGCTCTTACTTGTGTGGCGCACGGACCAGAACTGGAGCAGGTCGGCCCGTACACGGCTATTTTCAGATGTTGATTTCATTTACAACATATCAGCTCATTCGTTGTCATTTATGAGTAATTAAGAAGAAGCAAAGCATACTCTACCCACCTACTCAAGTATATGCATATGTGTTATCAATATTCTTTCATTAAGCGGGCGATCTATGACATATATCCATGCTACTCCAGTATCCATCACAAGACTCCTCAAGCAAGCTTTGAAAGGCTACCACGTTATGTTCGCCAGCCCGAGACTGCATCCTCAACCTGCTTAATCTGTTGGTTGGAGGTGACCTAAGCACACTCTCAAAACTGGTCAGTTGAGGTCTATCCCGAAACTTGATTGAGCTTACTTAGATAGAGGAAAGAGTTGTATCTTTGTTCCTCGACCTTCTCGCCAAAGCTTGTTATATCCCGAATCCCCATTTGACTAATTGGGACTTGATGCAGTCTTTTCTTCTGAAAAAGTTATATCGCATCGTGTACGTCTAGTTTCACCTCGCCATCCGATTCATTAAGCAGCGGCTGAGTATCGAGCAGCTCCTTGGCTTTTATATGGAAGCTGTGAAGCATAGCAGCAAGAGATCCCTTCTTTGTAACCCACTCCCAGGGATAGGTGAGAACATATTTAGGCGAGGCGAGGCTGTGCGTCCAGCAGGGCTCAAGCGCATTAGCCAGGGCAATGTCTTCACTGGTGATCTGGTCTGCGTAGGGATATGGAATATCTTTGTGCAGCACGTAGAGGAGCTGCAGCTGTCGGCCGCGAATATAAGTGTTCTTTTTAGAGCTGTAAGGCATAATTGCGTATTACTTCAGATGAGCAAGAGTTGTTGCTGGTGTTGTGGTAGTGGGGGAGATTATGTTTCAATGCTCTGCTATTTGTACTTTATATATGATAGAATGTTTTCCATGAGACTTTGTACCCAAGTGAATATATCGCCTTTGTGTGAAACGGGTGAATTGAAGTCACAGGCTTCACGAAGGCAGTAATTTGACACCAGACATTCACTTCGTCGCTTGCATGACTCTTCTTGTCAAGTAGTGAAGTGTATTTGGTTCACTAATAACTCAATAGGCATGGCTGATGTTGTTTCCAATTCCATCAATGACAACTCTCTTTGACTCAGAGGTCGTTTTGTGTCGATGCACAATTGGTCAAGCGGTATGGAAAAAGTAACCATGACAATTGACCGACATCACGCAGTTATTGAGACGGCCTATTGAAGAGAAGTCTTTAAATGGCAGGACTGGCCACTATCAACTTTGCTCCACCCCCGGAAAAACTCCAGGCGGGGAATATCATCCCTGACCTTTACCAAACCTGCCAAACTCAACCTCACAGCATTATTCTAGCATGTTTAACATTTAAAGACGAATTTTAACGATCTCAAACTTATGCCATTGTCTGATATGTCTCCTTCACAGGGAAAAGGGAAAAGCTCAAGAGGCAGTGCAGAACTTCATAGGATACTAACCTTGAATTACAGGAGCCTATTATATATAGATTATGCCTCTAGCTTGTAACCTCCTATACTCTTACTGTCGCTATATCCCCTTTCGCTCCAAGATCATTTTCTTGCCTTGTTCCCGTCTAGTCTATAAGAACATTAGCTCAATCAGAGCCGCCAGGTAAACAAATAGTCCCACTCGCTACGTCTTCATCCAGTCAAGGCCTTTCTGAATAAACAATTCCTCAATCTTTCGTTTAATGATCCTTACGAACCTGCGCCGCTGTTCTTTTTTCAACAAGCGAGATTTGTCTGCTTCGCCCAAATACTGGGGCAACGACAGGTTGATCAATAACAGACTTGTTCATCCCTAGTAACAGGTACTTGACGGTGTCATCTGGCAGTGCGTAGACGTAATGAAGGTCATTAGACTAAGGGGAATCCGGGTTAATCAGACTGCAGTATAGTATATGGCCTTGTTGTAAATACTTCTGAGGTTGCTTCTCGAAATCCTTGAGCGTCGCAACGGTTTTTGTATTAAGGGGGGGATTGTTTTGGACATTCACTGCCAGGTCCCCGGGGCATGGAACAGCAAGGTTATTCATGCGATGGGCCATTTGGAGGATGACATCTTCATCCAGCCTTGTTATACTGGCAGGACGTGCAGGGCCGAATATGAAGAGAAGTATTGTCAAGGTGATGACAACGTTCCAATGGCGATTGATGAGCTCTCGTCGTGGCAATGCTGGGGGCTCATCATTGGTGTCGACCTTCTCCTTGATGTCGATGTCAGGTTCTGCTGCGCAAGTACTAAGTCTTCCTGAGGCGGAATGGGGATTTTCAAAGCTTGGAATGAGTGGAGAAATAGGCTGTTGAGAAATATACATTGTGCCAGTGTGGAAGCAACAATATGTACAAGGATTCTGAGTCTGTAAAATGGCTGTTTAATATGACTGGAGCAGTTGAACTCTTGTGATGGTCAGATTGACAACGAAAGACAACCGGGTAGCAATACGATTTATGACTTCAATTCATCAAATCTTTAATACCGGACTGGACCTTCAATTGCAATGTTTGATTAAGTTGAAAGGCCGTGTCGCACCTTGGATCAAAGAGGTGAATGATGTATTTGTGGCTCACATCATTGCCCATTGCCAGAACGGCTACGCTATTTTTGTCAACTTGGCACAAAGAGCTCTTGGTTGAATCTATTAATAAAGTCCTTGACGGAGTTGCCGCGTGCAGAAGCTACAAAGAACTCAGCGCTTGGCAAAGACACTGGCCATATTTTTGTCTGATGCAAAGTTAGGGACGTGGAAGAGAGAGAGGGAGTCTTCATTCAATGAATTTTATGGCTATTTTATCGGCGTGACGCCAGTGTTGTCCGTACCCGCAATGCGTGAAACCGTGATGCTGTGGGACGGGCTATGGTAAATACCACATGTCGCAATTTAGAACAAAGAATTCCAGGGCAGGATGGTAGGTAAAAAAGAGTCCTTCGACTTGATGAGCATATTTGTATTCAAGGCCCTCTATTTACTCTCCCTATGGATCTACATACCATCCTAAATAGATTTACCCCTAAATTACCAGGCATTCTAATCTATATAAAATAAGTCTTATTTTTAAGTAGCCTATAACTAGACTTATAGATCCTTAGAGACAATAAGGCAAGATATAAGTAAGGATGAGATATAAGTAAGGATAAGATATTATCTTGCCTGCAGATAGGGGTTATCCCCCAGAAGGGAAGTGGCCCATAAAAAACGTACAACCGTTTGGGGGCTCCTACAGACTCATGGCATTAGGATTCATTTAACCCTCGCTACCGAGACTGGCCCCCTCGAGAAGTAATGCCAAGATACGAAGAGTACTAGTTTACCAGTCCAGCTATGAGCATGTCAATTTGCATTGAGTGTTTGGGATGAACCAAGTGAATAGCTGAGAATCGTAAAAGCGGGATGAGTATCAACCCCCGTTCCACGATGATCCGCCCGTGACTGCAGATTATGTAGCAAGTGATGTGAAGAAGCTAGCAATTCAGTCGCTCAATATTTACGATCAAGGAGATCAGGTCTTACCCATTATTTTATTAATTTTATCCCGATGTGTCGTGCACAAAAGCTTTCATTCACATGACGTAACTCTTCCATTTGGTATATTTCAAGTTACGCCCAGCCACATTTGTTGCTTCCAAAAGGGCCTCGTCGAAATAAATGCATACCTTGCAATTCCTCTCTTGGCAAGGTCTGTGCAACCATGCTCTCTGACAGTATTGGCTGGCTGGTCTTCAGGGTCCTGCAGCTGATACTGGTCATGATGGAAGATCCAGGGACTGCTTGCTATTGTGGTTGCTTTTGTTGAGCTAAGCGAGACCGCCATAATGTGCTGACTGCTGTTCGCCCGGCCGTTTCTGATCTATCGATTTTAACGCTCTGTTGCTATTGCACTGTGAACTGCACCAAGCTACTGTCTTTGCTGTGTGGAGAAGTAAATGTGATTGGCTGATGGCAATATTTCAGCAACATACAGTATATCTTATTCTTCAAGTGTACTGTATGTCAAGATGAGAACGTGAGGAACACGTTGACTTGTACGTTAGCGCCTGATAAACACTCTTAGTCTATTTCTCATAACGCTTTCTAAGAATACATTTCATCCTGTGGCTTACGTTGATCAAAATAGAGTATACTTCCTTACTGTATTGCACTAGTTGTGATAGCAGCAAGTTTAAAGATGCCAGTCCACAGATGAGATTTAGCAACACCATCCTCCGAGTTGTGCACAAATTTCCTCAATGCTCTGAGTTTAGCTGCAGCCCTGGCAAGATCTCGTAAACAAGACAGTGAACATCGCTTCCTTCACACAAATTGGTGCTTTCACCCTGACCCTGGCAATATCCCCGCAAAAGCCCATCTGCTCCAAGCCACTTCTTCTTTTCCTCTGGGATAGCCAATCATAACCTCAAATGTGACTGTGTAAACAACAATCCACCGCGTTCAATTCAAGCCACACGTACTCAATGGTTACGCCAAGCCCGTCTGGCTCGTGAATTTGCATTCTTCAACCGTTATCGAAACTGGTGAGCAAGCCACAAAGTACCAGTTCCTCCAATGAATACGTTCGCTTTTGCCAAGAAACTGTGATAACTGGCAATAGTAAGCCACATACTGCTTTTTCACGTTTCCCAATCTTTGAAACATATTCCGTGCAGGGAAGCTAAGATGGTCAGGGGACAGTATGTGACGTAACGGCTCTCTGTGCCCCATGATCAGAGATAGTCGATCCCTCTTAAGGTTCTTCCATCCCTTCCAGAATCTTACCCATTCTAGAAACCGTTGCACCTAGACATCAATCTACTCACCAGCTTTCTCTTTTCCTGTCATCCCCTTAACATTGACACGGAGTATTGACCAGTCACCTCTATTCAATATCCAGTTCTTCGTTCAATACCCTTTTCTTTTCACACTCTCCTCTGCCTTCCACAATGGCTGTCCTTCCCCTTATCCCAGGCATAAACGTCTCCATTCTAGTGGATGGTACGCCAGCCACAGAGCACATACCCGTGCCCGAGGATTTCCCGCCTTTCATTGATTCAACTGGTCATCAAGGCGTCGAGCACAATAGATGCCACATTGAGTCCCAAGCTGGGAAACATTTTGCCATCCGCATTAAAATCTCATCTATATTCAAGTTCTTCCCGGGCGAAAACACTCTCATCGTCTCCATCTACATCGACGGCAATCCTTTCGATAATGTAGTTATCCCAAGAAGATACATTGTTAGCGCAGCGCGTGAAGACGAAGAGTACAACGAGGTTATTTCGTGCTGTCACCGCGAGTTTCCGGATGGCTCGTCAGAGTGTTACAAGCCCGTCTTTCGAGACATCAGACATCCTGGCAAGTCTACCACGAGACCCACAGATCACAACATGACTAACGTCAACGCAGCGTATCAGACGGATGATGCCCTTTCCATCAGTGATGTTGAGAGTATCATGGCCTTGGGGAGCATCCAAGTCGCTATCGAGGTTGCGAGAGAAACCGGCCCTGGCGTGATGGGCAACGATGAGTTCAGCGACGATAAGAGCAACGAGACTCTCGTCATTGACAACGAGGTACTTCAACGGGATGGTTCCGGTCAAATCCACGCAACCACGTATGTTTCTGCTTAGAAAGGCATGTACTTGGCTAACATGTTGCAGCTACACCAGGACAAATGACACTCTCGACGTGGAGTACATTGCTGTTGATTGTGAGGACCACATCGGAAACTTCTTCTTCTACTATCAATCTGCTCGTATGTTATCTGTACTCCCCATAAAATATTAATCGCTGACTTTTCCCAGCTGCTCCCAGGGCTGCGTTCAACTTGCAAAAGAAATTCATAGACCGGAACGCTAATGAAATGGTCCATCTGCACTCACAACCCAGCAAGTCATACAAACTGAGTGACGCGCCACAAGACACTTTTTTTTGACAAACGATAGAGGATGGACAATGGCTCGTTGATGTAGGAAGTGAGGATGAAGGTGAAATGGGTTGTTGGATGTAAGCTTGGGTTTCCTGTTAGAGCGGTGGATCTCTTTGGCTAATCTGGTTACTGATTTGCTTGTTTCGTTTCCTTTTTTCCTTCTGCGTTTTCTTTGAAATTGTCTTGGTAATTGATAAAATAGATCTCATAGCATGTGATAGAGGTTGGGTTTGTCGCAGGTCTCACAAATGCGATGATGTGAGTAACAGTTGTGACTATGACTACACACGTTTACCCTTCGCGAATTTAGACTTTGTACGACTCTTACAGAGAGCTTGATATGAATTGTTACAGTCACAGCGCTTCCAGTAAGATATCTCGCTCTCAGCCTAAAGCAACATTGATATTGTCAGTGGCTCTAACCTAGTAACCTGAAGAAAATGTCGGAACAATCTAAGCACTTAATCTCTCTGTATCTGTATTTCTATGTTTCCCCATCCATAACGCCTGAGAATGCCATAAACCTCCCATCACCAAGAATCATCAACAAACCAGCTCGACTCCATAGTCTTCGGCGAAAAGAAGGGCGTTGGATCAATAGCCTTCGGGGCCTCTGTCTCTTGCACCTCAATGATGGCCTCCAGTTTCTCATATCTTCCCAAAAGCTCTTTACACATTCTCGTCCTCTCGCTCCATAAATACCGATCGTGTGTCGACGTTGTCATCTCAGCGCCCATCATCATCGGGATCGTGATAGGAGCAGCCAAGCCCCCAGTCAACAGTGTCAAGACGGCTGCACCAGCACCCAAGCGCGTGCGGTTGAGTTCCTTATTCCGACTGGCTTTTTCGACTCTCAGGACGGAGAATTGATCGAAAAGTTTCTTGCATGTCTCATTTGAGGACGTGCCGACGAGGAGGGAAGCGAAGACGATAGCGAAGTCAATGTCGCTCCAGTATATGTTGACATCGTTCCATCCTTCACAAAGGTTCTCGAAGCCTGTGTTTGGGGGGTTAGGAATATTTGCAAACAGCGTAGAGAGATTAATAATTTACATTTGTTGACCTTGTCAATATTGTTGTGCTTCTCCACGTGTCCAATGAATTGTACTTTGGAGATCCTTCGAATCTGATCTTCATCCCATTGTTCTCCTTGACATGCCGATTGTCCTGGCTGATGGCTCCAGTAAAGCCCTGTTGTGAACTTTTCCAGGACGGTCTTACGGGAATGCCATATGCTCTTGGGGACCAGACAGAGTTTCATTTGAACCTGGAAAGTGGACGGCGGAAGAATGGCCGGAAGAGATGTTGTCTGTGTATGGTCCCAGGTAATTACTTCACCAATTTCTACGATGGTGTTGGTTCCGAAATCGATGCCGGCGTCGTCATTGATGAGCGGCGTTGTGACGAGAATCGCTACCCATTCATCGGGTTTCGGCGCAGGCTTCGCTTTCTTCTCCTCAGAAACTGGCGACGCGACTCCGGATTGACCTAGAACCATAAGTTAGCTCGGACTCTGCTTTGATGCTTAAACTGACTCACCGCCACTAATCTGCGCCAAGACCCAATTCACCACCATTAAAACTACAGCCCTCACCTCCGAAGACAAATGTCGAAACTTGGTCCTCGTAACTGCCAACTGTCTATTCCCCAGACTTCGCATCTTCTCAAATGGAGGTGTGATCTGCGGAAAGTCGATAGGAACAAAGTACTTGACCATAGCTGGAGCATTGTCCCATTTGTCATTCAGCATGATGACCAGATCGAAGCCTTTGGCCGTAAGCCAAGCTAGAAGAGGGATAACGGCTAGGTTTCTGTAGAACTGTAGCCATTCCGGACATAGCACGAAGAGTGTTGATGCAACGGAGACGACGACGACGAGTTGTTGTTTCACAACGGCAAGATCGTGCCGCCGCTGGAGAGGCAGCCGGGGCGAACTGTCCATGCTCGCAGACTGTCAAGAATGAATTCACGAGAACTTGGAAGAATTATGTTGGGAAACAAAGCAGAAAATAACAATTTTTGAGGTTGATGCCCGTTGGTATCTCGGGTATCAAGCTCAAGCCCCCCACTATCACCACATGGCGCACTTGGCCTCCAATCATTATCGTCCCCACATCCACTTTCATGCACTCATACGTGTCTAAGGACAACAAGCGAGAACCACGAAGAAGCGGTCAGTTCGTCACCACTCGCAGTCTTGATTACAAAGACGCGCGACAGGACTTTATCAATGTGTTTCGGATCCAATAAATGTACCTTGCGAAAAGTTAATAAGCACCAATAATTCAATGTTCACGGCATCATTTGGCCTAGATATTGTCGACACACGGTACACTAAGGCCAGTATGCCTTATAAACTTGCTTCCTGTTGACTAGACCGGTGTTAAACTGTGAGATTTCCTAGCAATCACGGTATCTCGGCCAGGAGGGAATTCTAAGTCGAACAAAATAGCGTCTTGGAGAGAATAGACTTGACCGCTTGATGGTTTAATTGAGCCGCGAGAGGCTGTAAGTATTGCATAGTAATCTTATTAGGTAGCAGGGTTATTTAGGAGACAATACGGTATCACTTTATCTTCGTCAATGAGAATCCCACCAAGTCCAACTCGACTACCCTGCAGCTATCCATCGGCAACAGCATATCCAAAAACCAATAATCCCTCTATAACTCCAAAAGTCTAAATAAACTATAATAAGACGAGATGATATCTAGAAATTAACGTATTAAATGGCACAAGTATAACTGTTACTTAATAAGCGTATATTACCTAGACACTAAATAATGTTAATAAATAAACGGGTTCTAACAAAGCCGCACAAGAGGGCTATAAAAAGATTTAACTTTTAACTTGCCTCTCCCTTAACTCTCTGTAGAGAAACTGTATTTCAAATAATAAGATTTCTTATAAGCCTCTTAAGTGCAGTTACTTCTTTAGGTATATAGTAGCTAATAAAAGTTTAGGGGTTATATAATACTTTAAGCAGCAGTCTGATTTTTTATTTATATATTAAGGCCCACATCCGGCATTAAGTCCTTATGTCAAGGCTGGAGTTTCTTTTATTATGATGTACTCATTACAGCCTCTCAGCCATAAGCAGTCCAATTGGGCAGTTATTGACTTGTTTGCTACACTACCCCGCTTTGATTGATACCTAGTTGGTGCCAATCTGCAGTTTTGCGGAGTAAGGTAGAGGAGCTGAACTGAGGGGTACGGTCTAGCCTGTCCAGGCTTAGAGCGAGCTGTTAATGTCTGTAGGGATGAGGTCGCGGGGGTAATGTGGGGCATTTAACGATCACATAAGCGGCACCAAGATTCGCATGAACAACAAGTGGCTTCGATAAAATAAAAACACCAAAAAAAAGAACCCAACAAGAGAAGCATCAGAAGATCGGTGCGCCATCGGAGAAGACTTGATATACATACAGGCATGAGCGACAAGTGACAAGTGGATACGAAAAATCGAAAAACACCAAAAAAAAGACAAAAATATAAAACCTGATAAAAAAAAGGAGGTATTGGAAGCGGAGGAAATATATCTTAACCTAGAAAACAACAAAATACCAAAAAAAAATTAAAACCAAAAACCGAAATCATGTGCTGATAAAAGTGATAAATGTGCTCTGTGTAAATAAATGGCGTGTTCTGAAAAACGTCAGTGATGTGATCTTGCTTGCTGTTCCCGGCATCGTGTCATTGAAACATACAGTCCTACCACTTCCCCTGGTGTTCAAAATTCCAGCCAAGTCCCGGCACACAATGACAGAAGCGGAGTCTAGCTTGGCACAAAGCCTGGTGATGTAGCGATAGGGATGAAACTAATGGCCTGAAGGTATAAGCTAACATACCGATAGCAGGGTGAATTCTACTAGACTTTTAACATCGAGAAGATACCTTTTATCGTTGATACCTCCGCAAAGTCCGCGCAAGATCACATATTCTCTGTAGTGGGTGGACTATCCCACTCTTGTTTTTTGCTAGCGAGGTTGTCATATTGGAATCCTTGTTCGACTCACCACCAAAGCTTCCCCGCAACAAACATCTACAACTACCACGGCATCAGATCCACACATTCAGCTGATAACAACAGAAAAGAAGCCTAAAAACGATTATTCCAAGTGGATTTTTCAATTTGCAGGCGCCATTGCAATGAACATGCTACCGGTCGCTGTGGGATGAAACTTCAGGGCCTGATGGAAAGATCAAGATGTGATACTTGCGCTAAGACTTGTCCCCTGGTTCTTACGGCTGGAAGAAGAAGTCGTGGCAACCATGCTCCATATCTATGAAATGTGTAGTGGCGCAGAATGTTATTAATCGACTCGATTGATTCTGGCGGCGATTTATGGTGGGTAATGGATGGTTTCTTGGTGTTGTTACTGGTGCTTATGACTACGACCTGAAGTCACTGACCATTGCCTCCTTTATTATGACAAGATGTAAGCGCTCTGAAGTTTACATGATGGACGCATTCAATAACTACCAATAACCACATTTCAGACAAACACAAACAAGCAACACATCCGGCAACGTGCAACTGACTCCTCCCAACGGTAAAGGTTTGTATTGTGGAGAGCATGGCGATGGCTTAAACCGTACAATTACAGAAATATGCTATGATCTAGTATCATAATTAGCTGCTGCCCGTTTAGGGGGAGGCACCCAGCTTGACCTGCTCCTCACCTGTAGCTTTATTATCATAACGGACGCAACTAGCCGGACCAAATCCAGGGGTAGTTTCAAGCCGTGACAGGCAAAACCAGTCTCGACACAGCCTCCTTCGAATGATGAATCGTATGAACTGCCGGTTCAGTCCTCGCCCCATATGCCTGATTCTCCCCCGTTCCCAGATTGCGCAAATAGGCGGGATGTGCACCACCAGCGATGATCACACGGATTTTGTTCCCCTTGCGGAAAACATGTGCGCAGTCCACCAACGCAAGGTTGAGCGGCTCAGGACCTCTCACAGGATCTAGGCGCTTATAAACATCACTTATACGTGTAGAC